CTCATGCAAATGGGACGGCATACACATTTCTAAATAAATAAAAATAAATAAATAAGCAAGCAAGCCCCAGTGAGTTCAGTGGGTCTTGCTTCCAGCTTAGGGTGTGCAGGATTGTAGCCTTAAACCATTTCTATCCAGTTCCTCAGCCAAAAGGTCTCTCAAAGCAGCTTAGATGCCATAATTAAAACTCATTCTAAGAAGACCTGACAGAAAAGAAAAGAGGGATGTGCAGGGAAGAGAGGAAAGCAGGTGATTGTTCAGCAGGGTTGGTGGAATGGCCAGTCACATCTCCGTCCCTCCATTGCCACCTGCTGGAATGGCTTCTGATCGTGGTCCTTGACAAAGGGACCTGAAGGGGTGGCCTTCTAACAGCCTGGTTCAGTGACCTGACAGCAAGTCGCACTGATCACAGCAGGTTTGCACAGTAAATGTTATTGTCTTAACATGGTAGCCATGTCATGAGCAGAGCCGGCTGGAGCCGGGGGTCAGACTAGATAGCCCAGGAGACCCCTTCTTACTCGCTCTGCTTCTATGTTTCTTCTATGTCGATTCTCTTCACTGATGCTTGTAGTTTAGAAACCTATTTTGGCTGCAGTATATTAGTTTAAAAATGAATGAATGAATGAACAAATGAATAAATAAATTTTAGAGTCCAATGGATGAGAGAGATTCTGGGAATACATCCACCCAGCAGCAAATTGACCATTGCTGGTTTTTCAAAACAATCACTCCTCACCTGACAAAGGGATGAAGAAGCAGAGAGCCCAGGCAATGGAGGTGAGCATTTTCCTTACCAGGTGAGTGAGTAAGAATAAATATGCCACATCTTAAGTTACTTGCTTTATTACTGTTTATTTTCTTGGCAAGCAGTGATCCCTTCCTTGCCCCATGAAGGCAGGCATTCAGCAAATGAAACATCTTCAGCGCTATGCCTCTGTGTTGTGAGGAAGGTGCACCTTGTGGATCTCTGCCAAGCAGCTCTTAAAGACTCACTGAGGCTGAAGGGCAGTGAACTAAGACTGGCCATTCTCCAGTCACACCCTTTATCTTACTGCTGGGTCTGCTGTGTGAGAAAATCAACGGGGTAAAGAACATGCTTTGTACTGCAGAAGAGATCAGATTTAAGCCAATCAGGGCTGACAGTAGTGGCTTTGGTGGCCTGATTCAGCTCAGATCTGCTCCCTTGCTGCTTTCGGATAGGAAAAAAGCAGGTGGGTGAGACTAGATCAAGGAAGGTGCTCTCAGTTTCTTTGCTCTTGGCACACTTGGCATAAAAGCTGCAGGCCCAGTATGACACTGTTACCAATATTTGAATATTCCAATCCAGTTCCAGTCTGAGGTGATCAGCTGGGAATGTAATTACATAGCTGTTTGGCAGCCATAACCCCCAAAGGTCAGGCTTTCTTTGTTCAATATTTCAGGGCATTGAATTGAATGTGAAAGAGCTTGGATTTATTTGTGAGTAAACATAATCAGGACTGCACCATTAGTCTCTTAGTTAAGAGTACTGATTAGTTTGCTTATCAGAAATTATCACTAATATTATTTGCTTATCACTAATTATTATTTGCTTATCACTAATAAATTATGTGGCTAATAGTGCAATCTTGAGTATGTTTGCTCATAAATAAAGCCTAGTGATTTCAGTTTGACTCAATCCCAGGTAAGAGTCAGCTTAAGTGACATTTGGCAGTCAGCAGAATTAAATACTGTGTTGGAGTAGACCATTTCAATGGTCTACATTACTGTGTAGAGTAGACCATTGAAATTAATGGGCCTTACATTACTCAGGATTTAATATCCCCGTACCTTTGAGCTTCATGTAACCATGTTCTGGTAGGGTAGATAAAAATAAATGATTAAATAAATGCATTTTAAAAATAGATATATTTTTAATCAGCTGAACTACAGTCAGTTGGAAATGAAGAACTTTTCTATGCAAAGTTTTTTTGTAGGTATTCATTCTCTATCCACAGTTATTTATGATTTATTTAAATGATATTCTGACCTTTCACTTTTGCTTCTGTTTTTAAATGTGTGTTTGTGATATAGTTAAAGCAGGGAAATGTGTTAATATTTATGAAATGGGGTGGGGGCTTTTCCACTTTTATTTGAGCTATTTCCCTCTGTCACAGTACCACCGAAAGATTGTGTAGCAGAAAAGCAGGAATAGAATTGCTCTTCATGTTGTGTTTGGCTCTCAATTCTGTGATGAAACCAAAGGGAAACAGAAAAAGTAGAAAAGCTCTCTGTCTGGCTGAACATCATCAGCTCTCTGCTAAGAATATTGCTTTTAGTTGTCTTTGTCATGGATCTGAGAGGCCAAAGAGAGGTTAGGAACTATGCACCTTATATTGTTATGCCAGCTATCAGTTTTATTTAAAAAGCACTGTATATGCTAAGTTTCTCCTAAATAATAACTAGGCCACTATTTAATAATCATGAATGTAAGCATGTTAGCCCTCTGGATCAGATTTTGGCTGCCTACGTGCTTCTGGGCCCAATTCAAGGTGCTGATTTAATCTATAAAGCCTTACATTGCTTAGAATCACAATTTCTCCCACTTACAATCTACCCAGACACTGTTCTCAACTTCTGGGGCTGGCCACACAGTGCCAACTCTGATGGAGACTTGGAGGGTGTCAACAAGAGGAAGGGGGTTTTTAGTGGTGTCTTCCCGTCTATGGAATGCCCTCCCCATTGTGGCCCGCCTGGTACCAACCTCGCCATTGTCTTGCTGCCAGTTGGCATCTTTCTTTTAAAGGGCCATTCTTCACTGTATGTGTTTAGCTGTTTTGATTTTTATATGTTTCTTTTGATAAGATGTTATGGACCATGAAACCACCCATGGAACTTTGGCTGTGGGGTGGTACAGAAATGAAGTAAAATCACCACCACCACCACCATTATCACCCCTACCTGATGATGGTGCAGCTAATATAATTTCAGTTCCTGTATTTAGAGCAATCCTATGCTCCCTGGGCAAGTATCCCAGGGGCCATAGGACAGTTTAGATTGCCCTATCGGAAGGGGGAGTCAGAGATACAACACCCTTCCTGCACACCTTCACAGCTGTCAAAGAAAGAACTATGCCAGATGTCTCTCTGGAGGTAGAAAACAAGCCCTGGTTATTCCCTTCTGCTACAGGACAGTACAGTGTGCTCCAGGCAACCTGCCCTGAACCTCCTAAGCTAACTTAGGAGCATAAGAGGAGCCCTGCTGGATCAGACCAGTGGGTCATTGAGTTCAGCATCCTGTTCATACAATGGCCAACCAGCTGCCCAAATGATCCCACAAGAAGGATATGAGCACCTTCTTGCGCAAGTTCCCCAGCAACTGATGTACTGCCTTTGCTGCTAAAGTAACATGTAGTCACCAGGCCTCCTTCTTCATGAATTTCTCCAATCCCTTTTTAAAGCTGCCTAAATTGGTGGTCGCTACATCTCATGGAAGTTTATTCCATAGTTTAATTATGTGCTGTGGGAAGAAGTAGCTCCTCATCTGTCCATTTTACTTGCCCTTTTCTGCACTTTCTACAGCTTTACAATATCTTTCTTATGTGTGGTGACCAGACCAAATTCTACAAATCTACAAATTCTGGAGATTTTTGGCAATATAACTTTAGCCATTTTGTTTTCAGTGCCTTTCCTAGTAATGCCTGTTAAAACTATCTAACAGGCTGTAACATTGTTTTAAAGGTATCTTTGTATGTTACTGTAATTTGAATATTTTAATTGTGAGGCCAGCTCTGAAGCCCCTGTTTGACCATTCAATAAAGTGAAAATAATAATTAATTATATCTGCCATCCAATTAAATAAAACTTTGTCAATTAACTGAAATTCTTTTTAATCACTTTATTAAACCTGTATGCATTTGCATATATCTTAAAGATTTCTTTCAAAAAAGACATATTTTCATTTTTCAATAATGTATAATGTTGTTCTATAAGATTGAAATAGGAATGCATCTTCCAAGATGGTGATTGTCATTTGCTGTTTTTATAAGTTCTTTCATTAATAGTACTTAACATTGTTCTAAAGTGTTGCCCAGTTAATCAGCAATATCTTTTTCTTTGATCATAAAGTTCATATTTGATTAATCTCTTAGCAGAATAATTATTATTCCAAGTGATTGGCATCTTAGGTACATCTACTAAGTTCAGTGTTACTTACTCCCCAGTAACTGTGAAAAGGATTGTAACCTAAGATCACAGTCCTCTAAATAAAAATACACATCTAGGAAAGCAAATTGAAATATTATAGAAATACATCTGTATAATAATCTTTTGTAATATAGCTACATTTTCTTTCGGATATAGCCAACACTAAGGGAAAAAACAAGAACAGCCTGTTGCTAGGATCTTTCCTGGGAACACTTGGAGTTGCCTTCTATCAAATCAAATTAGATGTCCATCCAGGCCAGTATTCTATACTCTGACTGGCTGCTCTCCAGGGTCCTGGGCAGAGGTCTTTCCCATCACCTGCTCTCTGATCCTTCTGTCATCAAGGATTGAGACCAGGGCTTTCTGCATGTGGCAAGTGCTAATTGAGACCTTCTGCATACCACGCATGGGCTCTATCAGTGAACAATGTTCTGAGATTGCTGTATCTACAACAGAGAGGCATAGGCATAATTTATTTAAATTAACAGATAATATGATTTTTCCTTGTTTTGTCACTGCATCAGGAACACATTGCCTTAATTTTAAACACATCTTCCTGGTTCACAAAATGCCAAAACACACTGTACATACAGTCTGGAGTGAAATAGCACATGTCCAATTTTGCTGTTGAGTCATAAAACCCACACTCTCTTCATGTAAGCAGATTTGGGTTGTGATTTACATGGAGAAGGATGATACAGCAAAGGATGTTTAGCAACTACCCATAGTTCACTTCAGGGCTTGGACGCCCTCAAAAATCTGTTTCCAATTGTATGCGCCGGAAAAAAATCTTTGAAATTTGGCATGGTTTCTAAACGTACATAAAAAAAAGTTCTTTCTGAGATTTGGCCTCCATCTGAGAAAGCTGACACTGCTTTTGGAAACTACTTTCGGAGATCCAGTGACTAACATCCAGAAGAGCAAAGGGGAACTAGAAATCTTTTAGAAAACAACAGGAAGAATGAAGGTCTGTAAAAATGAATGAATACATGAATAAATACATCTGAATTTGGGCTTTTATAATTGTAGAATCTGTTTTGAGAAAATATCTGATGCAGAAAAATGCTCTTCAGTGGGAAAAGAACAGAAACCCGTTCAAAGCACACCTCAAGGAGATGTGTGCTTTTGTTGTCAGACTGAACTTCGATTTCTACTGAAATACTATAATTTTTGCCTTGGGAGGAGGGGAATAAATCATAGCAAAAGCTTTAAGTTGCTGTGTTTTAGGGAAGACCTGAATACTAATGGATTTCTATCCTGCAGATCCAGATGAAAATACTAATTGGAGTGATCTCCTGCCTTTTGCTGTCTTTAATAGTTATGTGTGCAGTATTAATTCCTTCAAAAGGTAAGATAACATATTAGGGGGAAAAACATAAACACCCATCCTGCTGCCTTAGTTGAAGTTTCTGCAAACTGTGCTCAGTTCGATGGGACTTAACATGTGTGTAACCTGTAGCCAGCTTAAAACTATTTAAGCTTCCACAGTTTGGGAATTGTACTTTGTCATTAAAATCTGTCTGCTGTCTTGTCACCTTTACTGTGAACTTGCTGAGGTATGCTGTGCTGACATAATCCATATCCTGGAAAAATAAGGATGGCTGTCTGTCAAGTGAAAAGCATACCTATGCTAACATTGGTGTTCCTTACTGTACGCTAATGTACTCTGACAAGTCTACAGTGTTTCAAACAGCCATCTATCTGTTTGCATGTACTTCTGAATTGATGATGGTTACAATATTCCATGTAATCCCTGTTATCAGTTGCCTTGGATACAATGGATTTGTTAGAATGGTTAATAATCCTGACAACATACAGTATGCAAGTAGTTACATCCAGCATAGTTTCCTTTTGTTATCTAACATCTTCCCAATATGCACATGAAGCTGCCTTCTTCAAAACTGAGTCATGCCAGCTTACAATTTCTGAAAATAAAGCTTAAGTTAAAAAGCTCATTCCCAGGTCAAGAGCACGACATTCTCTAATTGAAACCCCCTCCCATCCGCCCAAAACCTGGGAATAAAACCCTTCACTTCATTTTAAAAAGATCCATTTTTTATTGTTGCCAGCATGTCAGCTTCTTATTAGTTCTTTCTCTGTTGTGTATATTTGTGGTGGGACATCCTGTCTTAGATCTCTGTATAAAACACTCTCTGTAAGTCTATGTTTGCCTAAAATTGACTTGAGCTGCTCTCCCAGAATGCCTGTTAAACTCTTTTCATTGACAGCAGGTTGACTAGCCTAAACCCTTTAGCTGGAGATATTGGGGATTGAATGTGAAACCTTAAGCATGTTTTACCGCTTCTTTATTGGTTCTTGCAGTTTGTACAAAGCCTCAGTGGTAATTCAGTGATCATATTAATGAACTGTTTTGCTATGACTTTATAATGCATAAGAAGTTTATAACAAGTAATCATGAGGGTTATAATTTTCTAGTAGTAGTAGACAGCTTTCAAAGTTTAGTATTTTGCCCCTGCCATTGGTTTGGGCTTCATTTAACTGGCCCTCACCTATACTTAGCCCCAGAATCACTTCTTTCAGTGGACAAAATTCTCCTAAACATCCCATGCTACATCAGGTGAGCCAGGAGGCACTGGATGTTGTACTCTGACTGCTACATCCTTTATTGTATCACACTATAAACTATTTTGCAAATATCTGTTTATATTGAAAAAATGTTTGAAATAGACAGAGGTAGCAACTAGATAAATAGATAATAACTCTATGGTGTGGTCCTTAAAATTGTTGATGGTGTGTAAGTGCAAATACTGTGAAATAATGAAATGTGATGAATGCAACTTTTAGTTTAATGACAGACATCCCAATAGACCTCTTCAAGGTAGCCCTGAAGGTTATTTTTCCTATAAGCATTATTGAGTAATTTTGTTTTATACCAAATGTCAATCAAGAGAGAGCTGATAATCCCACCAGTTTATCTTGATAAAGCACACCCTTTCAATGAATTTGTAATTTAAGCTTTTTATTCTTGTATTCTTTTTATTTGTGAGACTCTCAGATGTTGTCATACTCCTCCCAGAGGAAATAAGCTTTTTCACATACCTTTATTTTCAAAGATTATTGCCAACTCAGTATTTGCTTTGATAGTGATAGTGTCTAGATTGCCCTTTGGTTTTATTTATCTTGACAGCGTTCTTCTGCATTAGTGCTGGCGAGGAGCAGTGTCAACAGCAGAAGTGACATGTTTGTTCTACAGTAACTAATAGTTACATAGCCAAAAAACCAAGCATTATCATTTAAAAGCAAGCCAACCATGTGGCCTTAAAGTAAACACTGTGAAAGGTTTCATATGTTGTGGAGATTCAAGTACTATCAAATACAATGATCAGAAGAGAGGGATGAACTGAGCATTCCCACTCTTGGGTGTCTGATAAGGAAACCTTCCATGTTCCATTTCTGAAGTTTGAATAGTCGTAAACAAGGCTGCCCCAACACATCTGCCCTTCCAGATGTGTTGAAGTACAACTCCCATCACTGCCAGTTATTGACTGGGCTAGTTAAGGGAGAGATAGGCATCTGATGAATACCGGCTTGAAGAAGGCTGACTTAGACAAAAAGGCTTTCATGCAAGGCCCAGTGAGTACATAGATTTTGGTTCTCCCAGATGTGGTGATGGCCTTAGAGCAGGCTGTCAACTTCAGCATGAGGACTGCATTCAGCTTCAGAAAAGTTCCCATTGGCCACATTCTGAGGGACTCAAAAGGGGAATGGGGCAAAATACTAAAAATAACAGCATATTTTAGCTTCAAGCTTTTACTGTAGTGAGTAAGGATGCAAGGAAAGGCATTTCAGCCTTTTAGAATGGAAGGGAAATAGCACAAAAGTGAAGAAAGCACTAAATGCTTGGAGGAAATAGAATGGGCTCTCTGGGAAAACCTGGAGGGCCTGATGGGTGGCCCATAGACCTTAGGTTCAACAGTTCAGACTTAGATGGATTTAAAAAGGGAAAGGGAGGAAAAGAAGGAGAGACTCTCTCAAACGCTGCTGTGTGTAATAGGGAAATGGAACTTCTGGGTTTGGAGGTGGTGCACTTCCAAATGTAGTTGCTACAGGATTAGCAGCCAGCTTTTTGGCTCTCTGGAAGCACCTGGCTGACCACTGTTGGAAATGAGACTGGACAGACTTTTCATCTGATTCAATATGGTATGTTCTTAAGATCAGGAACTATAGCTTTAACATCTCAGCAGCCTCAGTCCAACAAAGGTGCTTCGTGGCATGGCACATGCAGATCCTCTTCCAGATTAGGTACAATGTGTGCTGTACAGCCAGTACCCATGCTGGATTCTCAGGTGCAGCCGAAAGGCATATAGTTCTTCCTGATAATGCTGCTGATCGAGGCTTCTCTGCCCTAGGCCTGTGTATCTAGGTGAGGTTTTGGGGCAACTGCCTGGAAGCAAATGAGCAGCTAGCTCTGCCGGATCTGGAAAGCTTACAAGGAACAGAAGCATGACTCCAACAAGAGCCAGCGCCTAACTTAACTGTCCCTGCCCTGAATTCCAAAGGCACTACTGACAGTGAGCCTGGGTGGCTGACCCAGACACAGTCCAAGAGAACACAGCTGCAGCTTGTGACATGGGATTCTGCCTCCCAGTCGAACAACTCAGATCTCCCAGCCGCTGAGCTCCTCTGGGCCAGAACTTGCTCACGGAAATCCCCCTTTATGCAATGCGATAGCCCTGTCTGAGGCAGCGCACAGCAGTGCTGCAAGCTGGTCAGAGGAACTGAATGTGCAGTTCTCAGCCAGAACTCTTTTTCTTTCAGACCCTTCCTTTTGGCAGGGGAGGCAGCGTCAGTCTCGGACATCATACAATACTTCATGCAGTACAGCAGAGATTACCGATGTTCTCCAGTGTGACAGTGCTGGCCCGCCCGCCTGCCTGCCTGCCTTCGCTTTTTCCTTCCTTCCTTCCTCAGTCCCTCCCTCCCTTCTTTCAGTAGGTGTGGCAAATAGCTCCTCATGCACACAATTGCACCACTTAGCCTGCGCACAGCCTGCTGCTAATGTTTTGTTTTCCAAAACAGTGGCAATCACAAACTGTTCTCAGGAATTTTTGGAATCATTAAGAACACAAGGGGCAAAAAACAGAAGTTCCAATTTATTTCATCACCATTCTGTCATTCACTTTGTGATGAAGTGCGAATTGCTTACCCTTTGACAATGAAGTAAGAGCTGATTCACAAGGCTATTTTAAGCTGTATGATACAGGGCCAATGAGTGCAATGTGTGTGCATGTGTGCATTTCCTCTCTGAGCATTGTTTTGTCACTAATTTTCCAATTTACTACATCAGCAGCAGCAATATTTTGAAAGTCAATTTCTTAACTAGTTTCAGAAAACAAGACATAGCATCCTGTTTTTTTAGAATCTCTTGTTTCAGAAGAATCATGCAGTGCAATCCTATGCATATTTTCTTTGAAGTAAGTCCCATTGAATTCAGTGGTGCTTATTTCAAGGTGAGTGTTTTCTTGTTGGTAGATAACTGTTTTTTGTTATTACTCTGGCTAAGCTCATGTTAAAAATTCACGCAGCTGTCATAGCAGTTTTAGCTTCTTGCTTAACAGAGTTTGACAATAGAAGTATTTTTCTGCAGTGAGTCAGCTAACTCCCCCTGCCCCATCAAGTTTTGGAAGAAAATGTTCCAGACTTTATATAATTTGAAAATGACAAAACCAAAAGTCTGGCTGTGTGTCTTTGTATTTATTGAATACACAATTCCTTAACATGCTTAGTGGGTAGACTGAGGATAGAAATGCAACAAATACAACTATGGCAAAATCAGCAATTTCAGAAATTATTTTAATATGAAGCCTGTACAATTGTATTTTTCAGTAGCTTCCTTTCTGAATCTTCCCATATGTACATGTAAATGTATTCTGTGGAGAAAACAAAGATGGAATGACTTACTGGTTTTCTGATCTGAGCCAATATTGCTTTATCACTTCATATATAACAGTGAATGTTTATAGTTGATGCATGTGAATGCTGACAATCCCAGAATACGTTTAATATCCTTAGCACACACACATGAATATGTATACACATGCTGGATGTACCAGTAAATGCAGACAATTTCATTTTGGTGACCTTCAGGCATTAAAATTAATCAGTGTACATGACATTTTGGACATTCACAAATTAATATTGGATTGTTAATAGCCATATGTGGGAACTCACATTTACTATAATTTGGTCATACGTACATGTATATTTTTAAAGTAAATAAAGAGAGACTCTGAAAATTACAAGAAGGGAAAAAGTGGCTCAAAAACTAGAATACAGAGCTTTACATCTTAAGATACTCTGTAGGGTACAACTGACCTGTGTTTGGTATAAATGGAAGATGTTTAGATTTTGCTAGTCATTTAACTATATTGCCAGTTCTTTACATTCCAAGTAAAGCTGACAATATGCAGCAGTTCCAAACCATCTATCGAATGGATCCTGGCATTCTTAGAAAAGTCATGTATCTGTTGGATTGAGGGGGATGATTTTTTCCTCAAAATGAGATGTTACTCCACTTTTAAAATCATTTCTCTAGATGTTGGAGGAAGACACCCACCACCTTCTGTGATCTTAGCAGGTCTGTGCCTCTATTAAATTATTGGCCAAAGAAATAAAGGAAAGCTGTTCTGGTAATGATTTGTGCTTGCTGTGTACATTGTTATTAATGCCTTCATCTCTGTCCTTTTTCTAAAGATCGGCACAAAGGGAATGATCTTAGAGCTTTAACACTAGAAGAGTATCTGGATGGAGATTTTAATTACAAAACGTATTTTCCTTACTGGATTTCACGTAAGTGAAGATGTTATTTGTACAAATGGGGTGACAGACCTTCATTTTGAAATGCTTTTATCTCTCATTCCTGTTTCCATTTTTCTACTGTTGTTTTATTTTTAATTACTCTAAGCTGTCCTGGACAATACAGGTGCCTTGGAAGGGTGGGACATACTTTTTTTAAAATAAATGAATATGTGTATCTAGAATGTGCAAAGAATGGGAAGAGGAGAGATGCTTGGCAAGTCATTATCTTGTGTCTTGCCTTGTTTGTTTTATTTTGTTTTGCTCTTTCAGAATTACAGCATCAAATTCCCACTAATTTCTCTCAATGTCCACATCCATCTGTTTTGGCAGCTCTTAGGTTAGCCTTAAAAATCAGATCCTAAAAGCCTACAGGCCTGCAAATTATCCCCCCCCCCCCCCCAGTCTGCAAAGAGGCTAGTATGCTGCATCTCCATACTGCCCATGGAAGAGAATCCCCCTACCCCACAGCCAGAATGGGAAGGCAGGTATTGGGTGTCTAGGGAAGCTGATGCAACATTTAGAAGCATTCTCCCGACTGGGCTGGAAAAGAAGCAGAGAGTGGGACAGGCTTCCCTTCTGCTCCTGCCAGTAGAGCGACCAAGCACACTGGAGCAGAGAGATCAGCCATCCCTACCAGCCCACTTATATGCTGGCAAATTCCTTGTTGCCTACAGCTGGCTACAGATAAGCTGTTAACTATATGGCTGCTCTCTTAGATGCAGTGGGAGTGCACTTGCAGTTAAATTTATTGTATAATTAAAGCTGTGTTTTCCAACCTCTCCAAGGAAACGAGTATCTTCATCAGTCTGCAGAAGATGATATAATTCTTCACAATGCTGAATCTGGGAGCTCAGTCGTTCTGTTGACTAACAGCACGCTTGTATGTATTAGTGCCATTTGAAAACAACAAATTAAAGAGGTGACAGTTGTGTTTCAGATTCTAACTGATCTCTTAACTTTTCAGAAAAAAGTGAATGCCTCAAACTATATGATATCAGCGGACCATGATTTCATACTTTTGGAAAGCAATTACTCAAAGGTAAAATCTTTGGGTTTTGGTTGGGTCTGGAGTCTTTTAGACTCAGGAGTGCAGGAAAATCCTGTCAAGGGAATTTCTGGGGGAAATAAAGGAAGCAAGGCTCTCTTTATTCCCTTCCACCCCAAGCCCTCACAGGAAGTCTCCTCTGGGCAAAGGGCCGGCCCCTGCCTCATGGCCAAAAGAATTATTTTGCAGGAAACTCCTGGGTATGCTGCTCTCTGCTGTTCCAAAATTTTCCCAGCAAATGGGAAATCTACTGGAGCACAGCTCTCAAAGGACTCTTCAGAGGGGAAGCTTTCCAGCTGGGACATTGTTATCCAGCAAGGAGAGGTGAAGCAACATCAGGAGAGGGCGTATCCTACCCAGTTGAGTTCCATCATCCTGACCCCCAGTTCAGTACAGTGGGCAATGTGGATGACACAGCATTATTGCTGTTGAAAAATGATGGGGATTATGACGTGTACCCTTACCCTAACCAGACATCCAGTCTGCTCATTCGAGAGCTAAAAGGGGAGGTGGGAGGTCCCACACATTCAGTCCCCAGCTTTATGTATTTATATCTTCTCCCATATACATCTTGCCTAAGGTCATCAGCAGAGGTCCTTCTTTGGGAACCTGCTGTGAAAAATATAAAGGGAGAAGGGCTTTTTCAGCTGTGGCACCCTTGTTATGGAACCAGTGCCCCAGAGAGGTGCGCCTGGCACCGACTATCCTTTCAGTGCCAGGCCTAAACCTTTTTCTTTTCACAGTATTTTGATCGCTAAAATGTTATATTTTAGTTTTATTTTGTATGACATTGAGACTATTTGTTTTGTTAAATTTGCTTTGACTCCATTAATTTTATGATTATTTCTACTAGATCATTTCTCTGTTTTTATATTTTTCTCAATAATGTGATTTTATTGATTTTATCTGTCATTGTTTAATTGTATATGATAGTGTTTATTATATTTTTAGATTTTAATACATTGTAAACTGTCCTGAGAGTCATCAACCAAATAGAAATGTCATAAATAAATAAGGGAAATACGTGAAAGGAAGTTCTACCCATTTTTTTTTTTTTTTTTGGCTGAATCTCCTTGCACAATACAGGAAAGCAAGGGGCAGAGAGGCTGTGGATATGAATGTGACAGGGACCAAGGCGTATGTGTGTTCTCCCCCTTCCGCATGCACACAGACTCACACACTGGCAGCCCCAATGTGAGCAAACTCAGTGCCTACATAGGGTTAGGTTTATTACCACGTAGAGAGGAAGGTATCTTAAGAGATCATTCCCATATTACGTTTAAGTCTGGAAGTGTTTCCAAATGCTGGCAGTGCCTCATGATGGCTGCATGATAGATTTGCCCTGTGGATCACCCCAACCTCATGGGGGTGGTCAAGGTCAGACCACCCCTGTGCAGTTGTGGACTGATGTGGACACTGCTCAGTTGGACTAGTCTTGTTATTACATTTTTGAAACTTTATAGAGGAGAAGGTATGTGATGATAATTGGCCTTATGGTATGGTTCAGTATAAACATTCAGAAAGCTCTCAATGGTTCAAGTACTGCTTGAACTGATTTTGCTGAAAGTACTGGGAGTTGGAAGGAATGAAGCCCCCACTGGGAAGAACTAACAATTGTATTGCTCTAATGTAACTTTTTCAGGTTTGGCGTCACTCTTATACAGCATCCTATCACATTTATGACCTTATCAATGGGTAAGAGTCTAAGATTTTCCTCTTCTATACTGAAATACAAGTATTTTTGTTTAGTGCATATGATCATTCTTCTCTTGAGACTCCTGTGAGGCATCATAGTTTCCACTTGGGAAAAGATGGCAGGTTATCAAACAGGATAATTTCTCCGGTGACATTACCCAGTTTTTTCTGATGATATGCTTATTCAAACAGCTTATGCAGCTTTTCTACTTGAGGCATTTATCACACACTCATCACTCCCTACTCTCTGTTGTTTAGGGATTCTGTGATCATAGAGTGACTCTCCAGTTTCACTTTGGTGTATAATCAGCATTTTTGGTGAGGAGGGAAATGCAGCATTTCATTGTAAAGGAGAAAGAAAGCAGGACTTTCTTTCGTGCATTTCATAGCAAGAGTAAACCATTTTCTCTCTTCAATGCACCTTTCTCAGCATGACTCTTATACAGCATCCTATGACATTTATGATACACCATGGCATCACCTCTCTATGTAGCAGAAAAGCAGGAAAGGAAATGCTCTCCATGTTGTGATTAGATGGATCTCAGTTCCACTACAAAATTGAAAGTGTGTACACCAGTCAACACAGCCTAGAGCACAAAAAATCAATATATAGTTTTCCTTTGGAATCATTTAGATACAGTGATAATATCATGATAGTGTATGTCAATGAGAATTTTCACATACCGAATAATAAAAAGCTGTGTAATAAAAGTGATGTTAAATGTAAGCAGAGATGATATGAGCCTCAGGTGTTTTCCAGCAGTAGAAAGAGGTGCAGTAAGCGCAGCTGATATTTTCCGCTGTATGAATGCAGTGTGGCTTGGATTGTAATCCTAAGCTGGTTTAGCATGGAGTGAGCCCTACTGAAATCAGTAGATCTTTCTCCCAGGTAAACATGCATAGGAGTGACCTGTGATCTACCTGTGATCTATTTGTTCTACCTGGGGTAGAACAAATCTAACCATTTTAACTACCTTGCAGTTTTGAGGAGTTTGTTTATTTGGTTTGTTTCCCAATTGAGTTTCCTCACTTATTACATGATCTTTCATTTTGTTTCTCCTGCATAGATTCCTGCTTTAACATTCCATCTTACATTTATCTACAATATGCTAATTATAAGAATCTTTTTGTAATAAACATTATTAAATATAGTGTAATTCCATGGACATGGATAGCCAAGCTAGGTGCATAATGCATTCACTTTCATATTGAAGGCCATGCAACAGAATCATCTTAGACTGCGGGGTGGGGTCCTCCTTGAGTTACACTGAGCCCAATTTAAGTTAATATGAATTACCATTAAACTGTCTGTATGGCCTGGGCCTAGCGATAGTGTGAGGACTTGAATGAATTGATGGCGTTAGGATGCCAGGCAGACATTAAAACCTGTCAATTTGAGCTCTGGGTCGATTCTCCCACAGCAACCCAGAAATCCCAGTTTGCAACGAAGTGTGTCTGGATTGTTTAGCCCCAGCAGGATCAATCAAGCCCTTGTTCCCACTCTATATGCAAACCCCCAAGATTTAAAAAAGGTTGAATTGACAAAAGTAAAAGTGGAAAAGGGTGCTTCCAGACTAGATTTTTTTTTTTTTTTTTTTGCTCCATTGACCTGTCTACTTCATAGCACTTCGTAGGGTATCCAGATGTTGCTTTCTGCCACTTCTACCCTTCTGCACCACTCCTTTCATTGTTTTTCTTATCATAGGAAATCGGTAAAGAAAAAAGACAGGTTGCCTTACATTATACCTTGGACTCAACTGATGCTTTTGGGGGGAGGGTGTGGGGGAGATGACAACATTAAGTGTATTTGCATATATAAAGTAAATGTATCTCTCTTTGGGCAAATGAGTAGAAAAGCAGGGGACTCTAACAATGTAGGATAGGCATCAGAGTGGTAGAAGAGCACCATGAAGGATGATATTAGAAGCCAGTTGGGCTTGGGACTATTCTTAGAGTGGAGACCCATAAGAATCAGGGATATACAAGCAAAAAAAAAGCCGCTGCCCAGCCTTCAGGACAGGTTGAAAACAAAGCTGGTAATGAATCAATTGATTCAGAGTCTGCATGCTGGAGCAGAGAGGCCTTTGCTCTGACCCAACACACCTCCACTTATTTTCTTGCAATTATTTGGAAGCAAACCCCGTGGTAAACACAGAGAGTGGCATTCCCAGGTAGATATGCTAAGGATAAAGCCTTAAGTTGCATTTTTTCTAACAGGATATCATGTTCCTATTTGGGGGGGGGAGGGGAGGCTGGGCAAGGTACCCTCCCTTGAGCATGTCTTCTCCCTGATCCCCATGATCTTACTGAGATGGGGGATAGGGGGTGCTGTTCAGACCCTGCCAGTACCAGGAAGGAAACCCAGAGTAGCAGAGATGGTGATGCTTCCCTGTTTCGGGCCATAAGCTGTTGCTGCTTCCCTGCCATCCCTACCCAACCAAAGAAGTGCAAGCAATGGCTCCTCTTAGCTGCTTCCTGCCTTACTCTGGATGGGTGAGGATGGCAGACATGGTGGTGGTCATTATCCAGTAACAGAGAAGCACTGCCTCTGGCTCCAGCTGTACCCTGAACTTCTCAGCTCTCTTGCGCTGCTCTGGCCACCTGCCCTGAGTAGCACAGGCAGAGGGACTCCCCCTCTGTTGCAGCCTATTGCTGCCTCTCCCACCTGCTTCCTTCTCCTTGTTGCCTCTGCACTGATGTACACTTTGAACGAAGAGCCCAGAAGAAAGATTATACCCAAGGCAGTGCTCCTCTGTAATGCAAAGGGATAATGCGCTTTTAAAAGAGGCAGGTGTCAGTCCCAGTGTGCATGACTGTTCCCCCTGCCATGCCAGTTGCTGGCACTGGATCTGAGTGTGCGTGAATTCGTGAAGCTGAATGCCCAAACAGGTAAAATTCTGACAGTTCTAGACAACTTTGGGAATGCCTCAAGGCACCAGAGACTCATTAGGGACTGCTGACATTCACCTGATATGATTATCACCATTCACTGGGTACATACGTACAAAAAAGAAGAGAAATACATATATTTTTGAGGCATTTACAAAATTTGCTTGGGTTTGCTGATTTAGCCAATGTGAATTTTGACATTCGAGACTTGTCTTGACTGCAATGCCAAAATCATTAAGAAATACTGACTGTAAAAGCACTGTGTCATTCCATCTTTCTTTCCCTTTCTCCCTTTTTTAGTGTTTTTGTCACAGACTATGAACTTCCACATAACATTCAGCATATATCCTGGTCATATGTTGGACACAAATTGGTCAGTAAACGAATGACATGTGAGAATAATGCTACTTTTGGATGAGCTTTGTTTGCCTTCAGTGTTTGTGCAGGCATCATTTTCACAAGCCTTTTATCTTTGTTTATCTACTATGCTTAATAATGTTGAATGTTCGAGTTAACACTTCACTGGTGCACAGAGCTATATGCCATGCTGGATAGGTGTTCTAACATAAAGTGTGTGCTTTAGCAGAGTTCCCATGATATCATTTGATCTTGGATTCAGCACTGTGCTTGCCCAAAACAAGGTACAGGAACCAAAGTTTGCTACTTTGCTGAAGACTATGGATTCCAGCAATCTCGTCTCTTCCCAGATGTGAGGACAGAGTTTATGCCAGGGTGCCTAACCCACAAGCCGAGGTGGCCTTCAGCTACATGTGGTGCAGCCCTGACCCATTTTTTCCCTCAGCCAGTCTAGTCAGCCGGGCTGCAGGAAAGGCCCATAAAAAAGGGGCCCCAGAAAGACCAAAGAAGGCAGATTTTCTTCAGCAGTAAGCAGGGAAAGCCTGTTGTTCTCAGAAGCAGAAGCAATTATATGTAAAGTTTATATCAAATACCTTAGATTTTTGAGGTGAGCTGTGTTTCCCTGCATGAAAACTAGCACTGGGGTTTACCTTGCCTACTTGTGAGAAGAAACACACAACACTGAGCTATGCTCTGTATATTTAGTGGGAAAATGTCCAAATTGGTAAGAATTAATTTGTGCATATGTGTACATCTGCATGTGTGGCCCTTCCCCTCCAACATAGCCTGGGTGAGGTTGCAGGTGCCAAGCGGTTGTGCAGCAGTGGTGTTAAGAAGCCTTGGACACTGGGTTGGGGCAGTAAAAAATGCCCGACAGTTAAATAAGTGCAGTGGCAACACTTGGCCTCAGCAGAGTGTATTTCGGCAGCCTTCGCTTCCTTCTAACAGCACCCTGCTCATATCTGTTCAGGCATGGCTGGTCCCAACCCAGTCTCCCTTCTGCTTTCCCGGTGCTGAGCAAACTGGCAGCAACGGTGGAATAAACAGCCTGCTTTCTCTGCCAAGAGGAACAGGCATGGAAGAGCTCTGACTTGTGGGCTTACGAAAACCTAGGCCTGGATTCAGTTGCTTGTGTACCATGCTGCCTTCCTAGCCCTACGGGCGCACATGGATAGGTGTGTGTTTCGGCATTCAGGGTTGCCCTGCACCACCACAGCTGCTCACTTGATCCTTATCTGGCCTTCTGCTTTCTCCAGTTATTCAGGCTGTGTAGTGGTAAGATATGCAGCCATCACATTTGCTTTGCACAGCCAAACTATAAAATACCCTTGGCTTGGAAATGGTGTCTTCCCCACCACAACCACCAGGTGAGCTTCACGGTGGTGCTGAGACCTGAGCACGGATAGCTCCAGTCTGAGGGCAGTGATGTATATTCTCAAGCACACTGCTCTTAAAGCATGCAAGGATCAGCAACCTGGCGCCCTCCAGATGCTTTGGACTGCAACTCCCACAAGCCCCTGCTAGTATGTCCAGTGATCAGACATGATGGGACTTGCTGCTTACAGCCTCCAGGGGGCACCAGGATGCCTTTCCCTGCCATAGAAAAGAGCTAGATGGAAAAAAATGGGCCCAATCACAAGGTACTTTGCTGATTCCCCCACCCTAATCTCCAGCTCCCTTCCAAACCATTGTAAACTACTCCAGATAGTTGCCCCTGTACTTTGGGAGTAAACTTTGGCACAAACAGAACTGCCTGCGTACAAACACAACTACCTCCTGCCTGTTTTGAGTTATCTTAGAATACAGCTCCATATTTATATGTGCTGTACTCCCTGAACAAATTTTTACTCTAAAATTTTGCTCTAAAAAAATTACATCTTAAGGAAAGGTGGATTTTTTTCCTTCCAGGCTTATGTGTACCAGAACAATATCTATTTGAAACAACACCCCAGAGAACCTGCTGTTCCAATAACCACTGATGGTAATTGGAATAAAATATTTAATGGAATTCCTGACTGGGTTTATGAAGGTAAACTTCCTTTTCAAAGCAACTGTATTGCTATACTAGACAGAACAAAACTATGTGATGCCACCAGTCAATGTTCAAAGACTGCTCTTTATCATTCTGTATCCACTTCACAATTCTTCTAAGAAATGTGGTTTTAACTTCCTGTATCTTGATTTTTCATATCCTGTCCCATCTTTCCTCAGAACAATATTTGTCCTATTCAGTTTCTTCCTCTTCCATGTATCCCCAGATGTCTTTCTACCATAAAAGTATCTGTTTCCCTTATAATTTGATCTTTTGCTTATCTGTAAGATTAGGACATCATTTCTTTTAATTTTCCTTCTAAAGTTCTTCACTGAGCAAAGAAAACATAGTAAATAATTTTGCACCTGTAACAAATTTTTAATTAAGTCTGGTCTGAGGAATGGGAAAGCAGACTGCATACAGAAAAGGTTAATGGGTTGCAGCCAGACTTCAGGGAGCAAAATTATGCTGAAACCTCTGCAAGCACAAGGCAGTGGTCTGCACTGCATTGGGGGGAATCCTCTGGAACTGTGTGAGAAGTTCTGTGAGGCAGCAAATGGGAGAGGGGAGTAGCGGCAGACGTCCCTGTCCTTGACTTTCCTCAGCTTCCCCAGGCTCTCGGGACCTTCATGTCCAAGGAAGGGCAACTCAGGGCTTCTTCAGGCCTCTTGCTAGTCAGAAATGGGAGCTCAGGAGAGTAGCTTTGGAAATGGGGTTTGCCAGGGGACCACCTTGAAGGTTGATGGGGTGGTTTGGCCCTCCATCTTCTGTACCTTCCAGAAAACTCTGCAGAGTCTGGTTGCTGACCAAGGATCATCCTGATTTAGTATCATCATTCTGATTTAGTATCGTCAAGTGGTCATAGGTGTTAATTTTCATACAGTAATGAAATCAGACAGGAACTGTGTACTCAAGTTTAGAGGTAAAAGACAAAATTGACCTACATTGAAATGTTCCGATCATTTGGAAAATGCAAGTATTCCAGGATGTAAAAATATGTAATGATCTAAGAGGGAGAAAAAACAGTGGCACCTCACTCTTGCTTGTTTTGAAAAGAGCAGTCCGGTTATGGTGGTTGATAGGGAATCGCCAAGCAAAATGTGACACAGTTTATAAGGGCAGGATCCTGTGCATGTTAATTTCCTTCTGGGAAGCCATGCTGGCTGTTGTACTCTGGGAGTTTCTAGGATTCTTTTCCCTATCTAAACATGCATAGCATTGTGCTCTAAATAATCAAAAGAGACAATACATATTATTTCAGCTGAATTGTACTTAAAAGCTGAGAGGTAAGAATGTTCTTACCTTCCCTTTCTGGTTCAGCAGAGGCTGGAGTAATGGCAAGCTCCATGATGCTGTGCTACCTTCACACTGGGGATGTCAGATCTGCCTCCCCCACTTCCTTGCAAACACACTATTAATTAGCTTGGGACTTATCCAGAAGAAAGTGGGAAAGAGAAATCAGAGCAACGGAAATTGTGCCTCGGGTGTCATTTTTGCTATGGGCCTGTCATTAGGATAGATGCAGTTGTGGCAATTTATCAGAGAAACACAGACACGGTCATGCACGGACTCTCTCTCTCTCTCTCTCTCTCTCTCTCTCTCTCTCTCTCTCACACACACACACACACACACACACACACTAATGGTGCTCTGATAAGGCAGTGGTAGCCTGATCCTGATCTTTTGTAGTAGAACACAGATGAGATCTTACCTAATTTCTTTTAGAGGAAATGCTGGCTGTGAAATACGCGCTGTGGTGGTCCCCACATGCCAAGAATCTGGCATATATACAGTTCAATGACACGGAGATACCAGTTATTGAATATTCCTTTTATGGTGAGAAGCAATACCCTAGAAAAATAACTATTCCATATCCAAAGGTATGTTGATTTTCATATTAAATAAAATATTATTTATATTGAATAAGATTGTATCATATTTTAACACATAGGTGTTTGGATTTCTCATATTTAATGATTAGGGTTAGACTAAAACTGGATTCAAGTGTTGCGTATTTCAAAAATAACATAATGAAGGACCTGATCCATCTCTTACCCTGGAGATACAGTGGGACACACTTAGCCCCCACATTAGAGTAACATTCAGCATTCAAGATGGCTGCTGACAAGGGAGGGGGAAGATGTGCTTTGTTGTCACAGACTCTTATATGTGCAAAAAGAGAAATGCACACAAGAAGGGAAGGGGAATAAGAGGCTGAGGAATTAATCACTCCCTTAAACATTTGTTAAAGGGGAGTTGCCAGGGGGTGGGATGCAGGGTCCTGGCTTTCATTATTTGTTGCATGCCTGATGGGCTAATAGACACCAGTCTGCTATGAACATGGAAGGACTACGCTAGGGTTGGGGAATGTTCCCCAGATGTTGTCATACTCCAGCTCCTACCAGCCCCAGCCAGCATGGTGGTCAGGAATGGTGGGAGTTGTAGTTCAATGACATCTGGAAGGATCAAGATTCCCCAGCCCTGGTATAGTCCTAAAAGGCAGCCTACAAATACTGCTCTGAATAAATAAGGAAGCTTTTTTTACTGGGTGAAAAGCACTTCCGCATATGCATTAAACTGCTAGTCAAGAGATCAGTGGCCTCCCATTGCAGACTTGAAGAGGCACTGGTCGCTTTCAGCACCAGTGTGCCAGAGCAGTCTCACTGATCTTCATACTTCAGAGACAGGCCTTCAGAACTGAGGACTGAAAGAAACTGCAGCAGGCTCTCCAGGGTTTTGGAGAGGAAACTTTTCCCGGCCCTCCCGAAGATGACAAGGATTGAATCCTGGATTCTGTGCATGCAAAGCATGTTCTTTACCCCTGAGCTATAGCGCCATCCTTGTAGATAGAGCTGCTTTAAAAAGCCACCAAGCCCTTAAGATTTCAGTGAAGGATCAGAGAGCCCAAAGCTCCCCTTTTGAAAACATCATGATAGAAAAATGGCGCGTGGCATCACAGAGCTTCCACTGCTGCACTGCTTTGCCAGTCTGAAAAAGTGGTGATAAAAACAGTTACACAAATCTGTTTTCATCATGTGTGACTGAAATAGTTTCCCTGTAAAGGAGAAGGTTTAATTTTAAAATAGAAAAAAATGTCTTAACCAAATCCTCTAGATAATATTTTGAATAATCTGCTGATACTTTTCCTTTTGAAGGCTGGAGCAAAAAACCCTACAGTTAGAGTATTTGTGATAGACACTGCTAGCCCTGAAAGTTCGAGCCCAAAGGAGATACCTGCTCCAGCAGCAATAGCATCAAGGTCATATCTTCTCACATTCATCTTTTCTTTTGCAAGTAATAGAATGTTATTTTGAACTGTTTGTCCTTCCCAGTACATTTTTGAAAGATTTGTCTTCTGTGCAGGAGTTCTTATATATGCTGTGAATCCGTAGAGTAGGTTTTGATGTTCTGCTGCCATCAGAGCTCTCACTGGGAGGGTTGGCATGACCCAAAGAAAGCTCTGCAGGATGTGGCTTATGATCCAGCCTACCACCCATATTCCTGACAGACAACTGGGCGCACTGGGGGCATGGTGCCTCCTCATCACCCTCCTCTCCCCTCAGTCTTCCTGCAGGTATCCCAGGAGACACTGTGGGAGCACCAAGGTTTCCGCTTCCACAGCCACTTGATAGCATGTCAGAGGATGTCGGGATGGGGGACCACCCATCGCTTCAGTCTACTCATGCACAGGCAACAGGATGGCTAGTGCCACACCCAGCCGGATTGGCTGGCTGTGGCAGCAGGACCCCCTTCCCCTCTCTTGCCACTGCGAAAGAGGCCCAGTGGAACATGCTCCCTCCACCTGGCCTGGCATAGCAGCTGCCCTGCAGCATTCTGCATGGCTTCCTCTAGAGGCGGCCAAGTACAATACAGCTTGCCCTGTGTTGCTGCAGCTGCCAGCCCTTCTGGGGCAGGGTCTGAGCCTTGCTGGGCTCACCCTATTCCAGAGCTGGCAGGGCAGAGCACAGCTCACCCTGCACCTCCCCAGACGTCGGCCTTAGTCTGCTGGCCACAATGGCTTGAGGAGCCTCTGGCGGCTGTCCTGAAGGGCTTCTTGTGCACTCCATGGTAACGGTCATCAGAACTTGCACAGAGCCACTTGGCCACAGCAGCAAGCTGTTTTTGCCACTTTTTGCCAAGAGCCTTTTTGGCAAATTGGTTTGTCCCCTGGTACGTTGTGTTATCTGGGTGTGTATGACATGGTAGGCCACCAAACCCTAGAGCAAGCTATGGCTTGTGAGGGCAGCTTATCGGCTCATCTTAAGCCACTGTGACACAACCAGTCTGGGGTCAAACAATATGCAAGGCCACTCACTGTATGATCCTTAGTGGGGTCTGGAAGAACGAAGTGGTGGATCTTCTACAGAGATCGTGTGGAGGGGGCATTTCCTGGTCTTGTTAGCTTGGCTGATCTGTGCCCCCCCCCCCAACCGGAATCCTGGCCAGCACCACTAAGAGGGATATGAAATAAGCTATACCAATTCGTGGCTGGCAGATGAGGGGGCACCACTTCATCTAAAGGCATCAGGAGTACCCTGGGAGATGCTTTGAGGAGACAACTCTGCTGGGAGGGTGGGTTGCTGCCATTTTCCCTTGCACCCAGCCTGGTGCAGCTGCCATATTCCACCTTATGGGAGGGCTGGTCTGCTATGGCCAAATGGAGACCTCTTCAGTGTCATCACCCTCTGAAGAAGGCTGCCTGAAGGGGATAAGATTGCTCCGCAACCTGTCCTGAATGTCTTATTATCACTACAATACTAGTGAGTCTCCAGCCACACTCATTTGCCCTTTTCTCTTCCCTTTTCTCTTCAGTGATTACTATGTCACTTGGATTACCTGGGTAACAGATACCCGAATCTGTGTGCAGTGGCTGAAAAGGGTCCAGAACTTCACGGTGTTGGCCATCTGTGACTACAATGAGTACTCCAGAACCTGGGGCTGCCCAGAGGTATTCTTTTCCCACCCGTCTCATGTTTAAAACAAGAGTTGCTTCTGGCAACTACTAATGAGCATTCACAGCAATACTGTTGCTTCTGTATAAAAGGGTGGAAAACATATTCCCAACTCTGAGTTGGATCTAAAGCTCCCCTACAGAAAGAGCAGTTCCAGCAGCCCAGAACAGAAGGGACCAGGTAGGAGATTTCTGACCGTTCCTCCTGCACTTCCTGAAATTTGAACTGGCTCCAACTCTTTCTTTGGTTTTTAAAAATTACTACATGGGGACAATATCTAGTTTCAAAGTCAGTTATGCAATGTTAGGTTACACTAAAATCCAACAATTCATCAGCATTTAACCATCCCACTCCTACCCTGGCTTCAGTTGCGCTGCAGTTAATGTTTCTGATTTCTCTGCTGACATGGAAACAAACATCATTTTGGAAGCATTTCTCACCCCCTCTTATGAAAGGAGGTCCAGTTTTTAACCCTCTCCTTGTGTGTGTGTGTGGTGGTGGGTGTCTTCTTTAGGCTTTCAGGGTAAGAAAAAGTCCAAACATTTGTGCTTCTGTCATCTCTACCTCATTTCTATGAATTCCTACTACTGTAGTAATAGCATGTCAGAGAGCCTTAGCAAGAGCTGTCGATTGTGCTGCACCAGACACCCTGTTTCTGGACAGCCCTCCTTATTTCCCTAGTCTCATTAACTGAACTGTAGCACTGAAATTCCTTTTGCCTTATTTTCGCCACTGCTGGCAGAGCCCCTATACAGAACGCAGAGCTGCATGCTAGAAATGTATTTGGGTGATGCTCTGTCCCTCTGAAGCGTTTTGCTGGGCTTGGAGCTGGAGCAGTCAGCATCCTGGCAACCTCAGGCCCTCTATCCAGTAACAATCGCACTCCTCAGCATGTCCTCACCGGATGAGAGGTGCTGCTGAAACCGCTCTTACACTTTGTTTAGAGAGTGCTTTTCTCATATCAATCTGCACCAATGGTTATTTAATAGGCGTGTGAGCAGATGGGAGAACGCCATTAAACTGTGTTTATTCAAAAGACCTCTGGGGGACTATATTTCCATCACTTACTCTGTTTTCTGTTCAGAGTGGAAGTAGTAATGCATAAGAAGTGGGGGCTATGCTGTACACTGGGAGACAATAAAAAGGACCGGTGATACGGTCCTGCAAATCCAGGAGGGTACACTGAGCTTTATACATTGTGAAATAAGACATATAAAGAAAATACAAATATAATATCTCCCAGTGAATTAAACTAAAAGCAAGACAAGGTTGTGGTTCATCAAAAGGCCTCCAAGGCTACCAATGCGTTTATCCAGAGCTTCAGATGTGACAGTCTTGCAGAGGTCAATGAGAGTCGCTTATAGAAATGAAACAGTGGGCACATTTGTGCTTTTCACTGAAATTAGGATTTAGCTGTGCTTAGTTTTATAAGGGTCAGCACCTTAGTTGAGTGGATGGTGTTTTACGGGGGAAATGCATCAGCAAGGGTGGCATCACAGGAATATCTTCTTGTCCGATTTTCCCCTTGTCAGTCATTGGCAATAAACCATTGCTTTTACTAAATCGCTAATGGGTTTGGGAGAAGCTTGATGTCCCTTTGCTAGGAAACTGGGTGTGTTATTTAATATAGAGCAAACATTTCCAAGCAAGAAATGCAAAAGCCACCAGCTTTCCCCCTTGTCCTGTATTTGAAGCTTTCCATTATAAATGATTCCGCCCCATACAATTCCATGAAGAGACTTCAGCATGGGATCCTTTGGTTCCCCCCGTGCAAGTCAGCAGCCCCTTTCTTCCTCCTTCTGTTTATCTGTGTCCAGTCTCAGGGAAGGGTATGTGTGCTTATTGCCAGAGGACAATAATTCAGATTGAGAATGGCGGCCTTGTAAGGAGTACGGGATCACCAGCACTGCAATTCCTTCATTCGCTGTGTCATTACTGACAAAGCTGCAGAGTGATGTTGCTGCGGGACATTGTGGGCCGTTACAGTGGCCGTGGCTCATGGAGAAGGGGACCCAGAACAGCAGCTCTGGGCCCTTGTCAGCTCCCTGATGATGCTGTTGCTGCCTTCCAGCTTGGCTGTATTTGGTTGCCTCTTAAGGCTGGCTCCACCATTAGGCTGAACTGAGGCAGCCACCTTAGGCAGAAGTAGCTGGTAGGAGAGGGGAGAGTGTAGAAGGACAGAGTTGTAAGAACTGCATGGCTTGTCCTGTGTCCCTAAGTTAGTCTGCTGTCCTCAAGTGCAGTGGAGGGAATCATCCCATAGCCAAATATGGGACTCAACATTTGGTTACTGTATGTTGAATTAGGTGTTGGAGGTGCCTTGCCTTCACTTCACAGCATCAAAACGTCTTAGAGTGGCCCCATTTCCTTCTATAAAATGCAAAGCCCAGTGAGCAGCCTTATCCAACAGACATAATCCTGGGAGCTTCCTGAGCACCCTTCCCTTTCAGTAAAATTTTTGACAGTCTCAAGTGCTCAGCATAGTACAGTACTGAGCCCCTGGAGGAGAAGATATAACCCTGACTGTTGAAAGCAAAATACTTTCTTCAGAACATAAAGTTTACTGAAAACATTTCACAGAACTCCAGAAGGTAAAGAAATATTTCATCGACAGTATTAAACGTATCTCAAAGAAAATAAATATGTTATATACATGTATAAATCAACAGTATGCAACCTTGTCAAACATAGCCTCCTAATAATTTATTTTCATGTAAAAACCAGAATGCTAAATGTTTGAACCATACATTAATTTAAAATTTTGGCAGTACACTAGGAACTTTGAAAGTGAATCATAAGCTAGGAACTAAAGCACATGGAAGACTTTTAGCATATCAGTCTAATTTTACCAAGTTATAATAGCATATGTTGAGATTTTTGTATAAAATACACCATTCAAATGGCTAAATGTGGAGATGAAAGCAACAATTCAAGAATAGTGGAGCTATTTCAGAAGTGCTGTTAGGTGTGATCAGTATTTTGCTGCCTGGGGCAAAAAACCAAGATACGGTCTCATTCCACAGACAGAAAACATATATGTCAACACCTTCACGCGACAGCCTCTTCCACTGCTCCTGAGGAGAACAGGCTAAGTTAAGAATATTGTGTGGGCCATTGTTCTCCAACAACTTGCTACTTCTTGTCATCACACAGGACCTGGGTTGCAAATCCAGGAGAAAGAAGAGAGGAATGAGCAATCTTTATGTTGCCTCTCTTTTTGCCCTAAGAGACTCCAAGTCAGCCTTTCACACCCTGAGCCATGCAAGCTAGGGATCGTGGAAGTTGTAGTCCTCACATCTGGAAGGTACCAAAGTGGGAGGACTGCTTTAAATGTTCCAGTTTCTACAAAAAGACAAAAAAGAGTAAGAACATTCCCAAGTACTGCAAATGTCTAAGGAGTAGGAGGATCTGTTGTGTTGGCCCTAAGAGACTGCAATCAGTTGGACCCAGCCTGGAGCTAATAGGAGGTTAAGCACAATGAATTTTCCAGAGACATCATACTCATTAGAAGCAAAAATAGACTGAAGCGGAGAGCAAAAGGTTGTGCATACTTTGGGAAGTTGCCACTACTCATTACCAAGAACTAGCATATTATGCATTTCAGGCTGTGGGTTCTGTCAGTGCTCTGTGGGATCCCAGGGTTCTGCTATGGAGCAAATCTTCAGTGGGGGCCAGGTTAAGAAGTCAGGTTTCACAGGAAAGTAAGTTGGGAAGAGATCAGCTCCCAAGGGGGCTGGCAACCAAACAGGATTGCTGGAAATTGCTCCAAGAAACAGCAAAGTGGTTAGCTGCCTTCAGGCTGGCTGGCTTCACCTCTGCACTAACTGAGTTGGGGCCCGGCCTGTTTTTGTGGCCTCAAGCTACAATGTTGTGTAAGAAGCTGCGGCATGCAACTGTCTTCTTGGCTAATGTCCTTAGAGGCTGAAGATGGCAAGGCAAGTGCCTCTACATGCCGTTTCTGGGGAGTTAGGTCCTGGGGAGCTGGGACCCCTGTGATGCGTTCCTGTGGCTGAATCCTCTCCCTGCACTGTTAACTCTGTCAGGGGACAAGGGGTTGGTGGCCTCTGAGGATGGGAGTTGGAGTTCCTGGTCCATGATACAGTTTCCAGATTGATGCAAGGGCTGCCATTATATCTGTTAGTGAACAAACCTATTTTCTGTTACGAAACACACCAAGTCTGGTGTTCCTGTGCTCAGCTGTTCCTGCTCAGCTGTGGAGAGCTATATTGTAAGATTATCACCTTTCAGACTGGATGTAACAGAGGCACACCCTGAAAAACAGAGTGTGAAAGATCCCTTTCAAAGAGCAGTTGGGGAAAGAGGGAAAGGCTCTGCAGAAATCTGGGGTCGTGCAAATGTGCGTGCCATTTATGGATCTCGGCTCATTTTTAAAAAGCACTTGTGAAGATTCTAGATTGCATTTGGCAGGAAACATCTGGCATGAGGTGGGCTTAATGAAGTGCCATCATGCTGACACGGGTTCACACAACACTTCCAGGGAAGGGATTCATATGGAGTCCATGCATCATATGCGATGTCATTTATCTGGTAAGGAGGAGGAGCTCCCTCTTTGTCTCCATCCTGTGAAAAAGTTTAAACCAGGCCTTAGTTTTCAGTGTCTGTGTTTGATTGAAAATTATCTTCTATGATACCTATTCCACTTCCGTCACATGTTGTGACACAGTTGTCTTGTTTTAACTTTGCAGGCTCAGCAGCATACAGAAGAGAGTCACACAGGATGGGCTGGTGGAGTATGATGATTATTACCTTTAAACTTTTGATTTTGTTAGAAGTATGACAGATCTTCATTGGTCTACACAGACAAGGATTTTGTTTTGCACTGTTTCAAATCCATGCAATTAGATTTCATTTTAAGAAGTGCTTTTGTTCTTTAACAAGGAATTAAAATGAAGTCTCATTTAAGGATAGAAACCGGAAGAGGAGGAAGAATATATATACATGTTACAGTTGTGAATATAAATGTTCAGAAGAATTACAGTATATTTCCATTTGTATATATCTTGCCCTTTAGTTTGCATGCACTTGTTTTTAGCACTTTCAAAGGGACCGAGGGAATTTCCCCATCAGCTGCTGAAACCTAAGTTGGAATTTAGCCTTGGTATGCGAGAAGAATGATGGAAGCATGTAGCAACTAACTAATTTGTTACTACGTGTTCAAATGTTCACAAGCAGTACCATGAATCTTGAAGTGTAGTATTGCACTTTTATGTAAAATGCATCCTCATATGGAAAAGGACCGTGACCACCACAGATATACATGCCATGGGGAAGTCTGGGAACAAGTTGTCTATTATTTTTAAAGGTATTTATTTAAGCATTATGAAAATATTTTTCTACACTTTTCACTAACATACACAAATTATAAGAGCAGTCATTTCCCCTCTGCCCCCACATCTGGTTGGAAAACTAACAGTAGGACAGGTTATTTTAAAATTCTGCCACCCACCATGCTCAGTGCATTATGTACAGCTGATTTCCATGGCTTCATTTGTACTTCATATATTTATTTATTTTTATTTATTTATTAAAACATTTTTATGCCGCCCCATTCGCCGAAGCCTCGGGGCGGCTTACAACAATAGATAAAACCAATAAGTTAAAATATACATATAAAATAATCATAATAATTTAAAACACACATTATAAAATAAGCCGCCCTGGCCAGATAAAATTCAGTAGTATTAGCATTTAAAATGTTGCTTAAATAAAAAGGTCTTCGCCTGGCGCCAAAAAACAAATGACGGCGGCGCCAGGCGGACCTCTCTGGGGAGCGCATTCCATAACTTAGGCGCCACTGCTGAGAAAGCCCTCCTCCGAGTAACCACCCTCCTAATTTCCTTCATGGAGGGTTCCCGGAGAAGGGCCTCTCCCACAGATCTCAAGGGGCGGCTGGGCACATATGGATGTAAGCGCTCCTTCAGGTAGCCAGGACCCAAGCCGTTTAGGGCTTTATAGGTCATTACCAACACCTTGAATTGGGCCCGGACTTCAATGGGGAGCCAGTGAAGCTGACGGGGAACTGGAGTCATGTGAACATAACATGTGAATATATGGCTTCTGTATCTTATTTTTGGTATGTTTGTTTGTCTTGTCTCAGTTCTTTGTTTCAGGACCATATTTCACTTCAGACAGCTTTTCATACTACAGAATTTTTAGTGACAAGAATGGTTACAAACATATTCATTACATCAGAGACTCAGTGGTATGTTAAACAGAAAATGAATTGAAAGTTCTCATAATATTGTAGTGCATGTGCAGAAATAAGTACCTGATTCCAAATGGTTCATTTTTGTAGGAAAACGCGGTCCAAATCACCAGCGGAAAGTGGGAGGCCATCTACATTTACAAAGTCACAGATGATGCAATGTAAGCATGCCTCAGCGTGTTGGTTATGTCGCTTGTCAATGGAAGTTGCTTCATGCAAAACTTAATTTTCCATTCAACTTACATAGCAGATACCCATTTTGCAGGTCAGCATCTGAGGACTTCCCAGATGACCTAAATCAATCAATAAATAAGGATCCCCATTGCCAATTATTGTCTTGAAAGAACCTGATGTTGCATTGAACCTGGGCTTTACAGACAGACAGCTGAATCACTTTTTGAGTAAAGAAGCCCATTACTGGAGGTGCCTAACAATGTAGCTGTGAAGATAAGACACCATTACATATTGACTTAGTATTCTTGGTGCAATAAATATGGATTTTGGCATGCCTGTTTCTGGTTGCAATCCAGGGATTTTGCACAGATGCTGTGGCTACATGTACCTACGCCAGTCATGAAGCAGCGAAGTGATCAGCTGCACCATGAGACCAGGGAAGGAGATGGGGGGGCTAAATCAACCACGCTTCAAAGTTCCTTTTCTAGTGGGGGAGGGAGTGGCATGACTTCTGCAAGCACAGCCGGATTGGGAGGAGGACCAGAAGGGGCAGAATGCCTCATGCTTCCGGATAGTAATCCAACCTAACCTGCACTCACTGTCAGCTACACTGAGGGTGTGGGAAAACTGGCTTTATCAGGGCACTTCCCGTAAAAAAACCTTCTTGGGCCAATGCAGTTCCTCCAAGAACGAGAAAGGCAAAGGGAAATCTTATACACACTAACCTGCAGTGTGTAAGTCCCATTAAATGTAGTGGGACTTACAAGTAAAGGTCTCACTGAGAGTGATATAACCCCATAACATACCATTTGAGAGCCTGGACAAACTCACGTTTGAAATGCCTGTTCAGCTTCAAGTAAAGCACAATTATACCCCACCTCCACGACCACAAAGTTTTTCCGTCATGCTGGATGTATGAATGGGCCGTAATGCCCTGGATGTAGAAATTCTGCCACACTCCACTGCTTCTCACTCAGAGAGAAAAGTTCACCCCTCCTCATCACAGGGATGGGTTGAGGGGAAGCGGAGGTGAGCTCCAGCGCACAAGACATACAAATGCAGATATATTCAGGTCTTTGCATTTGCTAGGATATTGTTGCATGTTTCTCCAGGGGCCTAGCAAAAACCTGCATGTTGATTGTGAATTTATTTCTGGCCAGTATTGATCTTTGGCCAGAGTGGCACCACAGTAAGGCAGACTCAAGGGAACTGAGAGGTTTAAAGAAGTACAAAAGAATTTTAGGGGAAGGGGGAACTGAAGAGAACAAGCATGCTGAATGGGCTAACTGTTGGTGGAAAGAGATGGAAAACTGGGAGGAATGGGAATGGAACAGAGTATCCTGAGAGAGGGGATGGATGGATGGATGGAATGTTTACACTGCAACATTTTCTTGCAGATCCCGCTTGTAGAATGCACAATAATGAAGAGCTCCTTGCTCTGTTAAAGGATGTTATATTTGATAATGTGAATTGCATTCCAGATTCTATTCAAGCAATGAATTTGAAGGCTATCCAGGAAGAAGAAATATTTACAAGTAAGTTACCATAAAATACTTTATTTGCTTCTGTGGCATTATTTACAATTTATTATTTTGTTGTTTATTTTTCAATTTATATACTTCTTGGATATCTCTGTTTATAAAATTATAGATTAAATATGTCATAATAAATACAAAAACTCATCGTTTGAATATGTAAAATGAAAGCAAAAAGCTCAGATTTAATAAACAAATTAACTAGGCAGCACAAACATTCAGGCATGGGTTTTCAACAGGCACCTAAAACATGCCACAGTTGGTGTCTCCTGAATACAGATGGGGAAAGCATTCCATAAGGTAGGCACTCTTTCCAAGTTCCTGAAAGATGGCAGTCTGCAAGTCACAGTAAAACAAGGCCTTCTGTAATGATCTTGGTGATCACACCAGTCTATACTGAGACAGGAGAGCTACCAGGTTTTTCTGGGCTTTGTATGCTAACAACACCACCTTGATCTCAGCACAATAGTTAACAGGTAGTCAGTGCAGCTGCTTCAACATAAGTGTAGTATGTGCAAGGTAGCAAATCTGTGCTGACTACCACATTCTGCACCAACTGCAGCTTCTAGACTGAGCTCAAGGGCAGCCCTAGCCTAAATGCAAAGATACCAGTGCACATGTGCAGTGCCCGGTCTATTACTGTCCAGAAAAGGAGATTGCTGACATAAGAGCTGCAGCTTATAAAAGGCAATTCTTACACTTGGGCTTCTAATGACAACAGTAAATCTAAGAATACCCTCAAACTATTTACCTGCCCATTCTGAAGGACTGCAACCCCATTTAAAATAGGCAATCTCCCTACTTCCTCTACCGGAGAATTGCCCCTCCATGGAATCTCTGTCTTGTCAAGATTCAGTCTCAGTTTATTGGCCTTCATCCAACCACCCCTGCTTCCCTGCACTGGTTCAGAATGCCCATGCTCAATCCTGATGTAGATGTTACAGAGAAATAGACCTGGATGTCATCAGCACACTGATGGCACCTCACTAAATTCCCAGTGATTGCCCAAACAGCTTGATCTAGATGATCAGGTGTGGGAAGCTTCTTCCAACTCATGGGTGGAACTCAGCTTTGGAGAAGCTCTCCAGGGCTGTGTTCCCAGTGGTGGGTGGGGCTGAAAGCAAAAGGGACCAACATTTATTTTTAAATACCAGCAAATTGTAATTTAAAGTTGTTATTGCCAGTAAATGAGCCTTAGCAGAAGCATTAGAAACCTTATTGGATGAGGGAAAGCTTCACAAAAGCTGGAAAGCCATCAGATAGCCGGTGGTTTAGGGAAAGTAGGAGAAGGGAAGGGAGGAACCTAGGAGGGCCACATCTGAAGTTCCCCACCTCTGATATCGATATTAGATTGCATGGGGACCCCAGGACCCTGGAATATCCAACAGTGTTTGACAACATAATTACCAGACAGCAGAAGCACAATCAGCCAGTGCTACCTTTGGAAAGTTCTAGATATATGAGGGAAAACCACTACAAAACAGTTTTCCCAATTCCTAATTCCTGGAGACAATCCAAAAGAATACTGTGAAAGTCAGTGGTATCAAACATTGTTGAAATAGTGAACAGGAGCGACTGAGTTGTACTCCCTTTATCTTTCTCCTGCAAGAGACCAACTGTCAGTACAACCAGAGCTAATTCTGTCCCAAAGACTGGCTTGAACCCAGACTGAAGCAGGTTGAGATAGTTCTTACTTTCCAACATCTCTGCCACTGCACAGCCACCATTTCCTCAAGCACCCTGTCCCAAAAAGGGATGTTTGTAAGCAGGTGATGGTTGGTATCACTCTTCAGATATCAGGAAGAGGTTTCTCAGAAGTGGATGTGCCATCACCTTCTTGAAGATGCCGAGCAACACCTCTTCAGGAAAGATGCACTCACCAGTCCCTGGATCCTCCTGGACAGCCTTGAATAAGCCAGGATGGGCAAGGGTCAAGAGAGCTTGTTGTCATCTGCAGCTGACTTTCTACATTTTCACACCTCAAAAACTCAGATCCATGTCATTGGGCCAGATGGTTTATTGGACATTTCACCAGCAGGTTTCAGAGAGCTGTAACATACGTTTTACAAAGAAAGATGGTGACAAACCACCCGGGAGAGGAGCAACAAGGTGCCCTTTGAGAAATTCCTTGAGTGAGTAGCACTCACCAACTATGTAGGCACATCTCACACTGTTTCTCTGGACTATTTACTCCAGAGTGTAATTGCATCTGTGTTTCACACAAGCATTTTGGATTGCTTCCAATGTTGTCCAGCAGCCAGCAGACTGGAAACTGCTGGCAGAGCAGATCCTGCTTATAATCCAGGTGCTCCCAAAATCTGTTCCAGAAGATTGAGAGACTTGGTGTGCACACATCTGGGCTGCAGAAAGGAGAGGATCAAAAGGAATGTCCATTGTGACAAGCAAGCCTGCTTACGTAATGTTGGGAAAAGACTATTAGGACCATGTTCCGGCTGTAAAAGTTATTGTCATTTCAGGGAAGATCACAAATAATAGCCAGGCTTCGCTTAGACAGCTTAGCTCCCATCATCAAGCTTCCCCTCCAAGAGCACTTAATATCTTGTATCTCCTATAACACCTGGGGGTTATGCAGCAGACAGAGCAGGAATTTCCCCACACACATCACTGTGGAAAGGGTTTCCTGAAAAGTGGGGACTTTGGAACACCATGCCCCACTGCAGTGTTGGAGCTAGCTGTCTGTAAGCACTGTTTCCATTAATCCAAGGAAATCCTGAATGCGATGGAAGCACTTGAAAAAAAATCTTCCTTTGTTTTCCAGAATTAACCTTAGAGAAAATCCTCCAGTAAAGCAGTGCATTACTTGTCGTCTAAGAAAAAAAAGATGCCAGTATTATGCAGCAAGATTCAGCTACAATGCTGACTATTATGCCTTAATCTGTTATGGTAAGTCAAATGCCGGGGCAAATAAAATCCCAGTTGTGCTTTCAGGCATCTATTGGGTATTTCTGTTTCAATGTCAGCCTAGTAATAAACTAAACCTTAGAGGTATAATCCTGTGCACACTCTTCCAGAAATAAGACCCAGTGAGTGCAGCGGCATCAGAGTAAACATATAAAGACTCTGCTTGAACAAAGCTGCTATAATATCATGGCTTAGAGCATGGGTCCTCCAACTAAGGCCCTGGACCAGATCTGGCCCGCCATGCCCATTTGGACCTGCCACGCCCATGTGTGCGCCCGCTGCTGCCCACCTTGCCCCGCATGCAGGGAGGCAGCAGTCTGCTCGCTCGGAGAAAACGATCGCCAAGCGAGCAAGCCGCTGCCTCGTGCGCCTGCCTCCCCTCCCCTCACTGCACGTGCCTCTCCTCGCCTCGCCTCGCCACACGCCCCAGCCCCACCTCAGTGCACGCACCCACCCGCATGCACCGCCCCCGCCAGCCCGCATGCACCGCCAGTACCACCTTCCCGGCCCGTGGCCAGCACCGGCACCTTTCAACTGGCCCCCTGCTGAAAAAGTTGGAGGACCCTGCCTTAGAGAGTGAGCTGTGATTTAGGAAGTGCCCCGCTGTAATCTCACTAGAGTGCTTTAGGCAAGCCACTCTCAACTTCAGTTCCCACATGAGAAATAGTGAGGAATAATAATACTTACCAACAGAGTAGTCATAAGGTTTTCAGAGGTAACACAAGTGAAACGCTGAGAAGCTGTACGGATAATATTGGTGGTGGTGGTGGTGAAGATGATGTAGCAGACTCAGCTGGGACTTCCGCTCCTCTGCCAGCTTTCTCACTGTTACCTGGTTGTCCCACCCATGTGTTCAGAGCAATCCAACTTAGCTGGTATGTTGGCGTAGACAAGAAGCTGACTAGAGTGTGAATCTGGAAATCCTCAGTTCAAATACATAAACTCACCAGGGCAACTTAGGACAGTGGGGGCAGAAAGATCATCTCCAGACTTTTTAGACTTCAGCTTCCTGCATTCTGACCATTGACCATGCTTGCTTGCAGATCCTTCTTGGGAGATGAAGTCTTAAAATCTGGACAGTGACCTTCTGCCCATCACTGCCTTAGAAAAACCATTCTCTTTCCCCTTTTCCTCCAACCGTAATTTGGTAGTAATGATGATGATATTTTGTCATCGTTAGATAGAAAGCTGCAACATTGGAATAAATTCTGCATTTAAAAACTAATGCAGAATTTAGAACAAAGTTGCCTCTAAATTCAGATTATATGTTCTGAATGTCAATAACTGATTCCTAAATTTGAAATTTGAATCTAGCATACCCCTGTGCAGGTGGGTAGGGCTAAAATGTGGAGAGACATGGGTGGGCACATAAGTCCCTCCCCTGCTTCCCCACACACCCGGCATCCAAATGGACTGCCACACATTGTATTCCTGCAAGTTGGGAACCCTGATTTACCAGATTTTTGTACTCAGCGCATGAAGGCCTAATTAAGCATGGGGCACATGGAGATGCTGGGGTGGGATGTATGTGCATACCTGTATTACTCTCCATTCTTTAATGCTGAATTTCAGCAAAGCAAGACAAAATCTAAATACATAAAATTAACAAAAATGGTATGCAAATGAAATGATACGCAAATACCTGCATAAGGCTCACCAACCAATTCTGTACATGTTTATTCAGATCCATTACGTCCAGTTTGGGTTACACTCAAATGTAGATGCATAGGATTGTAGTCTGAAAATTCTCTTAAAGCAGAGATATTGTCATTATGGTAGATGTGTACATTCACCTGGGATCACGCTAGTGAATTAAGTGCCTTTTCTGATCAATGTTTTATGATCTGCAATTGATGCTTAAGCGTGCAAATAATAGAGTCTCTACTAAGCAAACATAACTAAATGATAATACCTTTCAATCATCCTTGCTAAGGATGTTATCACACAGAAAGTGTATTCACCTTGAGAAATGAATTACGACAACTTCTTCGGCCCCTGTTGTGTGCATGGTTAATTCTAGACTCGGGTTATGTAACTGTTAGCTGGGCATCACTTCATCTGTGAGAGCAAAACACATCTTGCAATGTAACATTTCTTGGTTTCCTAAGCCGCTTTACTGGCATTTATGCCATTCAAAGGCCTCTGTTTTTTACAGACCTATACTGGACAGTACATGTCCCTTGTCTGTATCACTATGCACTGTTTTATTTCTTAAATATGGTCAAAAACCTAGTATTTAAGAGTTGAAGTCAGAGGCACCCTCTACCCTGAGGAGCCCTTCCCAAGGTGACTGTGAGAAAATATGGCTGCCAGTTGTCTTCATGTGCAAAAGCAAGGGAAAAATGGGAATCTGAGGGCCAGGCAAAATTTGGACCCAGTTTTCATGCAATAGCAAATCATAGGTTAATCAAGTCATGGGTTAATTAATCTATGATATGCATTGCATGAGTGGGAGACAAAGAAAGTTCTACTTTTAATAATTTCCACTTTCAGTCAACAACGTATGATCAATCGATTGTAATTCATTGAGCACAATGACTTTGCAAGAACAAACTCATAGTTTGTTGCTGGATTAGCTGCTGGATTGTTTAGCTGATAAACAGCCCAGGACTCCAGGTTCACATAGCATGAGCAACAACCTATGATTGCAGAATGTTGATTAAAATTGGACATGGCAGGTGCATGGGAGACAGCACATCTGCTTGCTTCCACTCACTCCTGCTTCAAATAATTCACAGATTGACAATATATCTGGATTGGCTCTTGGCAGACATTTTATAAATGCAGTTGATGATCACATTAAAAAAAATGTAAATGGCATCTTCAAGGAAGCTCCAGCAACACCAGGACTACTGGCAATGAAAATCTGCCACATGTCCCACTGGCTGTAGTGGTGGCTTCCCTCCCAATGCAAATAAGGGTAGCAATTTCCATTAGGACCCCCATGGGGCATATTGGGTAAAGAAAGGTTTCATCTTTACTCCCCTCTGTGTCAGTGCAGCTGAGTTTCCCACTGAGGCTGCCTTTGACATGATTTTAAAAACGTGCATATCAATTGCATCCACACAATGTCACCTCTTGTTAGAGAAAAGCCCTCTACACTAGAAAGCGTAAATCATTATTTAGACCAGTTCAACTGTTACCATGTAGTGCTGTTTTTAATTCATATACACACATCCCACTGGCCAGAGAGTCCCAGGAATTTTAGCTTCTGTTGAGGAATGTTTGCTTACAGACTTTCCATACACACACATATGAAGAATTAAAGTTCTCAGAGCTCCTGGGAAAGCATGGTGTGCGGACTGTTAAACAGCGAAGGGGTAAAGCGGGATCCTGGTAATATGGAAGAAAGAAGCAATAGGTCTTGGCCATATCTGGACTTAGAAGGAACAACGGTTGTAGCCAAAGCCACATGCTTACAGAACAGACTCAGTGCTGATGGTAGAGACTGAGCGAGTATATAAAGGATAAGAACTGTGCAGATACATTGCAAGAATATGAATTCCATGATATAGTGATCCCTGGATAAAAATACAAAGTGAACTAAAAATACAATGGAAGGATAATGTTAAGGCTTTTGGAGTCCAGGAGATAGAAAATCCATTTGATTACTGTGGATCAGTTGATTAGAACCCTGCTCATAGAACCTGCACTTTTCTTGGTAAAAGTGAGTACTGGGGAGTCCTTCTCCCTCTGTGTATGAACTGAAGTGCCTGCTGCTAGTGCAAGGGCATGTTTGGCTTCATGGTCATCCTTATGGATTAAAATGTTAAGCTAGTGAGAGCAATTGTCTATTGGGGGGGAATTACATGCAGATTATTTCACCAACAAAATTCACACTATTTTCAATAGCAGTTGTATGTTTCACAGTTATTCTTTAATGGACATTCTCCCCCCTCCCCCACTAATTATCACTACAGGTCCAGGCATCCCTATTTCTACTCTTTATGACAACAGATATGGCAGAGGTAACTTTTATTATACATATTACTTTTAATGCTAAAACCCTATGTACATGCATGTGGAATTAAGTTCCTTTTCAGTCAATGGAACTGAAACCCCAGAACACTTCCAATGGAGGCTTGCCCAGGACTAAATCCTATTGCAGCTAGTGGGACTTGGAAGGCATATGATTAGATTATAAATGTGTTGTAGAAATACTTTGATCCATTTTTGTTCAAAGTTGATGAAATAAAATGCTTTCTCTATATGTGTGCGTGTGCATTTTAGAAAAATGCAAAAAAACCTTTCCCTGCTCAGTGCTCATTCTGCTTCGAGTGTTAAATTAGCATTATAACCTGGAATCATGATATATGGAGCACAGCCTTTCTCCAGGCGACCCTTCTGAGTGGAAAGAGCCTAGGCTGAGCACTGTGCTAGCAGGCTGCAGCTGTGAGTCATATTCCTATTCTTTCAGTGTACATTCCTAGGCTAACTTCCAATGTCAAAACAAACATGCATTGGTACAGATGATGCCACCATGATACCAACCTTTATGCATATTTCCTCTGTCCAGTAGTAGCATCTGAACTGAGCTAGGGTTTCATATGTGTATGTAGCCAATTGTATATAATTCTTTAGTGAGTTCTCCAGCTGATTTAGTGATGGCCACCAGACTTCTGAATGATGGTGGAATGTATGTTCATTTGTTGTAAGATTTCTGTCCATGTTTACTCTGGTTATCTTCTGGTATTTTATCACCACAAATTGGGTTTCCTAAGTGCATTGTAATGGTGGAAACACAGAAAGAGTTTGTACCTGCTGCTGCTGCAGTAATCTACTTATAACTATTTTAATATGTGCTGTGCTATTTTTATGTATCTTGGGCTAGCTAGTTCAGATTAAATATGTGTAGGAGAGAAAAATCAGCCATGATACTGCTTCTTTTTTCAAGTGCCAGACCTCTTTTAACAGTCTAATGAAATGATGGACTTAACATAGTATAGGATGACCTTCATCAACCTTTGTCCCTCAAATAGTACAAGCCAGACATCTCCAGCCAATGCTGCCCGGGAATCACTGGGACAGTGGGCAAACACCTTGGAAAGGCACAAGGTTCAGGGAAGCCTGTAGTTAGTTGGTTCTCAGTCAGACTTTTCTTTCAAATACCACTTCTTCCAGCTCTATCGCAGCTTTTTGCTACTTATGCTTCAGGGAACTTTAAAGCCAGCAGTAGTCCTGAGCGTAACTCCAAGGAGGTTTAGCTCAAGGAAATATTTTCCTATCTTCCTTCTATGTTGCTGCTAAAGCCATACAGCTGTTTGATATTTCTGCAGTTACAAGGGTGAGATAATCACTCATAGAATGGTCATAAGAGATCTGACATCTCTATATATGGATATTTGGTTTGCCTGCCTTTGCTGAAGCTTATATATAATTGATATATTTGGATTTGTGCTGTTCCTTGGATATTTACATATTAGCATTTGTTAATTTTAGGGGTTTTTCTTGTTTCTTTTCCTTTTTGTTTTGTTTTTGTTTCTTTTTGTATTTGTTTATTTCAATGTTTGTTTGTTTGGTGAAATTCACAATAAAATTAAATAAAAATAGATGTGACATTTTCACATCAACCATCATATCATTCAAATCACACCTATCATATCATGACAATTGGTCTTTTTTAAATATAGAAATTGAAGTTCTGGAAGACAATAAGAATTTAGAATCTGCTCTGAAAAAAATCAGAATGCCTACAGTTGAAATTAACAAATTTGAAGTAAATGGAATTAGTAAGTACAATGAATTTAACTTCTCTCTCTCTCTCTCTCTCTCTCTCTCTCTCTCTCTCTCTCTCTCTGTCTCTCACACACACACACACACACTCACTCACACACACACACTCACTCACACACACACACACACACACACACACAATCTCTCTCCCAGTATCTCTCCCTCTCTCTCTCAAATACAGTAGACTTTCTGTTAACCAGAACTCAAGCAACTGGCACTCTCAAGCAACCTGCAAAAAAATCAAAGAAATAATACTTTAAATAAAAATTAAAATAAAATCAATTTATATTGGAAATATAAGTTTAAACTTGATCCTCTGGATTGTGAGTAAGCCCACACTTCGCACACCACGTGTTTGTCTCCCACTCCTACCAATTCACTGTGTGTAAACATACTGGGTGGTTGGGATCTATTGTTATTCAGACTTTGTGTTCTCACCCAACCCCAAGTATGCCAAAACAGGTTCCAAGTAAGCATAAACACCTAGAGCTTACCCTCAAGCAGAAGATGGAAATATCCAAGAAGCTTGAGAAAGGTGCGAGTTGTGCTCATGGAGGAACTTAAGGTCAGTTCTTCAATGATCAATGACAATAAGGCTCATTCTCAGAAGATAGAAATAGTATTTATTTAGGTATTTATTTATTTATATTTCCATTTATATGTTGCCTACTACCCAAAGATCTCATGGTGGCTTACAATAAAAAGTATAAATAATTTGCTTTAATTACTGTATTTCAATATTAATATCAAGTCAATACAGAGTTTATGGTGTGGTATAGTATGGGCTATAGTATTAGTTAGGCTTATTTTTAATAGTAACTCTCAAGCAACCAGAAACTACACTTTATCCAACATCTACCAATCCCAGGCGTGCCGGTAAACTGAGAGTCTACTGTACTGTGATTGAAAAGGGATGTATGCTGGCTACTTCAAAGCTTACAATGGGACCACATGAACTGTTGACACAGGAGAGGTACTATTCTGTCACCTTCAGTACTGTACTAATAAGCTCAATCCCACTGAAATGTTGTATATAAAACTGATTATTTCATCCCGCAAATACATTGAAGAGCTGGTAAAGACTATGAATGAACAACTGACATTTCAGGGGCCTGAAGCACTTTTCTTAAGAAGTAATCCTTAGAATAGTTAGATTTCTTTAGTTTAGAGAAATGACATATAACAGAGTATGAGGGGTAAGGGCATAAAACAGTTTTATAAAGGTAGGGGTGGGGTGGGGAGTGGGGTGGAGAAAGCAGATGGGCATAAGTGTTTCTACCTCTCTTCTAATTCTTGGATTCATCCCATGAAACAATATTTACTTATTACATTGTTTTACCACCCAATTGTCAGTGTTCCCTAGGAAGTTCACAAAAATTAAAACTCTAAAAAGTGGTTGTGCTAAAACATAAAATAGAAACTTCACTCATAGTTTATTCATAAACTTTTTAAAAAATAAATGGAATAAATGCAGAATAAAAGCCAGCAACACGGAAAGATCTAAAAGTACAAGAATACACATTTGAAAACAAACTTAGGCACTAAAAGATTTGAAGGAAAAAGATCTTCACCTGATATCAAAAAGACTACTGTGCAGATTCCAGGTATGTCTGTGTGTGTGTGTGGGGGGGTGCATTTCGCAACTGGGGTGCTACCACCAGAGGTCCTCTCCTTAATATCTATACGCTTCACATTATTTGACTGGGACACCCAGAGAAGGGCCTCTGGAAATGATCTTAGGATCTGGGCAAGTCTATATGGGAGAACATGGTTCTTCAAGTAACCTGACTCCAAGCTGTTTAGGGTTTTGTAAGTTAAAATGAGAATTTAGACCTGGAAATGGAACTAGATGGCAAGCCAGTGCAGATCACCAAACATTGATATAATATGATTGTATTGGCCAGTCTCCATTAACAGTCTTTCTGCTTTAGTTTGGGCCTGTTGAAGGTTCTGGATAATTTTCAAAGGCAGACCTGTGTGTAATGCAATGTAGTAATCCAACCAAGAGACCAGGGATAACCGTAGCTAAGGCACTTCTGTCCAAATAGGATTATAATTGGCATATTAGCATAAAAGGATGAAAGACTGCCTATGTCACCAGATCCACCTAGGCCTCCAGTGACAATACAACATTCAGTGGTGGGTCCAAGTGTTCTCCTGAACCATAAACCTGATACTTTTGGGGAAGCCCAACCTAAATATTTTTCGTCCACCTTTTATGGTACAACTTCCCTTGGCCATAGCCAGAGTAGCTTCAGGTTGATGGAAGGACCATGATTTGCCCACCCATACAATACAGCAATTGCCATCAGAATTAACTAAAGTTAGTGACAATTAAAAAGCCATCCTATGTAATCATCCCTCTGGCCTGGTTATCACAATGCAGGACCACAACTGGATAAGTTGTTCAGCATACAGCATTCTCATGTGCATGGGGCAGCTTTCCTATTTTTGCTTTAAGTCGAGTTTTAAATTTTGTAAAGAAATTCCAGAGAATAGCTAGAAGAGATAAGAATGTCTTCTTAAATGAACAGTGCAAAGAAATAGAAGGAAACAATAGAATACACAGAAGAACTATACAAGAAAGAGCTTTACGTCCCTGATCACCATGATGGGGTGGTCACTGACCTTGAGCCAGACATCCTGGAATGTGAAGTCAAATGGGCCTTAGGAAGTCTGAGCAACAACAAAGCTAGTGGAGGCAACAGCATTCCAGCTGAGCTATTCAAAATCCTAAAAGACGATGCAGTAAAAGTGCTACACTCAATATGCCAGCAAATTTGGAAAATTCAGCAGTGGCCATGGGATTGGAAAAGGTCACTTTACATTCCGATCCCAAAGAAGGGCAATGCCAATGAATGTTCAAGCTACCGCACCATTGCACTCATTTCACATGCTAGCAAAGTGATGCTCAAAATCCTACAAGCTAGGCTTCAGCAGTATGTGGACCAAGAACTACCAGAAGTACAGGCAGGATTTCGAAGAGGAACTAGAGATCAAATTGCCAACATACGCTGGATCATGAAGAAAGCTAGGGAGTTCCGGAAAAATATCTACTTCTGCTTCACTGACTATGCTCAAGACTTTGATTGTGTGGATCACAACAAATTGTAACAAGTCCTTAAAGTGATGGGAGTACCAGATCATCTTATTTGTCTCTTGAGAAACCTATATGTGGGTCAAGAAGCAACAGTGAGAACTGGACACGGAACCAATGATTGTTTCTAAATTGAGAAAGGAGTTCGGCAAGGCTGTTTACTGTCGCCCTGCCTATTTAACATATATGCAGAGCACATCATGAGAAAGGCGGGGCTAGATGAATCACAAGTTGGAATTAAGATTGCTGGGAGAAATATCAACAACCTCAGATATGCAGATGATACCACTCATGGCAGAAAGTGAAGAGGAACTAAAGAGTCTCTCTCTCTCTCTCTCTCTCTTTTTTTTTTTTTTTTTGCAGTACTTTTTTATTAAATTTTAAAACAGTACTAAAAACATCAATCATCACAAACATCGGAACTACTGAGTCAGCCCCTTACTACATATCTTTTAACATTCTGTAATCATATTCAGATCCATTTATGGAATCTTAAAAAACATTTTTAGATCTAAACCAAGTCCCGTTTCTACAGCCAATTAAAAAAAAAAGGTTCCAAATTTGATAGAAGTCACTATCTTCTTTCTTCTTCTGTGGTAAGATCAGTCCATCCATTTCTTACAGAGACCCGTTTTCCTTGACCAATATTAAAAGAAAGACTCTCCAAATTTGATAAAAGTCAATATCTTCTTTCTTCTTCAATAGTAGCTTCAATCTAACCAACTCTACACAATTCCAGATCTTTTCATTTTTCTAATATTAAACAGATACACTCATAATATTACAAATATAATCAAATACATTTTTTGCTTACTAGTATTCCAGTCTAATATCCACTAAAAAGGAAAGTGAAAGAGAAGAAAAGTTCCAAGCTTAAAAAAGAACTAAAGACTTTTAACCCAATTCATGTTCACATGTCTAACATCCATTTAGCATCTTTAAGGACATCTATTTAACGACAACAATTATCTATGATATCTTTTAAACAAATTTTCTTTAAGCTAATTTATTAAAGTTTCATCTAGCTTACACTTCACTTAATCACATACAATTAACTCCTTATAAGAGTCCAGCTCCTTACAATCTTTAATATATCTCGCTTGTAAAAAGAAATCTATTTAGTACAGCTCCTCCTACTCCCATAATTGTCATTTTCTAGTATAGCAATTCAAAGACAAGAGTCATGCAACTTAGCTTTTGGTCATTCATTTTTAAGATAAAAAAAAGAAAAAGAAAAGAATCTCAAATTTTCCCTTATATCACTCACAAAGGAGAGAAAAAAAGGGGGGACTCCACTCCTAGTCTTCTCCTTCTTAGTTCAGTTTAAATCTTATAATCTCTTCATAATTCAACACATTTAAATGTAGAAAAGCTTCCACAGTTAAAATCATATACCTTAGCCTTTCCATACCACAATAAACATGCCAACCCATTTATACCATTCCTTTTTAAGATTTCTTTTTTACACCTCTTCCAGACCGCTTTTGTTTTAATAGGGTTTGTTGAAAATCAATATTTTTAAACTTTACATCTCCAGCCCATCTTTCTCCCCTTGGTGTTATTTGTTGAAAATCAACCCACTTCAAAGTCTGTATTTCAATCTTCACTATTTCTTGCTTTATCTTCAGTGATTGTAGCATTTGTTGTAGGTCAGTGTTTATTCCCAATGGCTGTGTTTTTTGCTGCAAGTCAACCTTCACTGTTTCTTCTTCCTCAGAATCAATTTTAGTTAATTCAGGATCCATCCATCCTTCAAAAAAAAATTCCTTCCTTTAGTGGCCAAATTTGTTTCTTTTTATCCACAGTTTCAAATTTTTCATATACTTGTTGCATTTCTTGTATATTCTGTTCAGTTTTGGATTCTACATCAATCACCATCTCCTTAAAAGAAGCATCAGGCTTATCAATGCGCTTTTTTTGTACAATTGAGAAGATTTCCTGTTGTCTCAACATCACCTCTTGGGATATTTGTAAAGTTGTTAAAGATTCTTGTATTTCCAAAAAAAAATCTCTTCATTGCAATAATTCCAATAGCCACAAACTGGCAGCCAAGATCAGTTCCACTTTTCTTTTCTCTAGATCACTAGTGGTCAGAAGGTTGCCAAGTTGCCAAATACTTTGGCAGAGGTCCCAGAAACGCAGGAGAAGAAATGGAGATTCTTATATCCTTTCTCTTTTCTCCCTTTTCTCTTTTTTTTTTATGCCAATTAACGACAGATACAGTTTTTCCACAAGTAGTATTGCAAAAGGAAAATAGGAATGCTCACCCAAACAGTCGTCACAATAAAGAAGAAAGCATCTGACAATATGAAAAATATCCTGGTGAGTGTCCAGTTGATCTTGGCAGAAGTCCAAACAGATATCCAAAATGATTGGTCAAAGCTTTGAACTTTGATTGGTCACGTAATTGCACCTTAAAAATTTAAACTAATTTTATACCCTTAGAGAGGTTAGAGGAAAAAGTCTTTTTCTTCGGCTTCAACTTGGATAAAAGTCTCAGCACTCTCTCATCTCAGTCGCCGCCTAAACATCCGGAGGGTTTTTCTTTTCTTAATGCCAAATTATAAACAAATGCAGCTTTTCCATGGGTAATATTGCAAAAGAAGTAAAAAATATTTACTCAGCAGTTCCAATGCTTATCTAGCTAATAAAAATCCTAAGCTAATCTTCTAAGATGTCAAGAACTTGAAGGGGCTGAAACCACCCCCTGTGTTACTCGGTTGAGAAGTACCTGAATTGCTCTCAGCAGATATGAGATTGCCATCTCACATCAAGCCAAAAGCATGCCCAGGCAATCTGTCTTCACCCCAACAGGGCTTAGAAGAGTCTCCCACGACTCGCTGCCGAATAATACCGGCGTGATAAACGAGCTCTGTTAATCACATCCATCTCATTCCAGCGCCATCTTGGAATCTCAGGAACTAAAGAGTCTCTTGATGCAGGTAAAAGAGGAGAGTGCAAAAGTTGGCTTGAAACTCAACATTAAGAAAACTAAGATCACAGCATCTGGTTCTTCTTGGCAAATAGATGGGGAAGAAATGGAGGTAGTGACAGTTTTTATTTTCCTGGGCTCCAAGATCACTGCAGACAGGGACTGCAGCCAAGAAATTAAAAGACGCTTGCTCCTGGGGAGGAAAGCCATGGCAAATCTAGACAGCATACTAAAAAGCAGAGACATCACCCTGCCAACAAAAGTGTGTATAGTCAAGGCCATGGTTTTCCCAGTTGCAATGTATGGCTGTGAAAGTTGGACCATAAGGAAGGCTGAGCGCCGAAGAATTGATGCCTTTGAATTGTGGTGCTGGAGGAGACTCCTGCGAGTCCCTTGGACTGCAAGACAATCAAACCAGTCAGTCATAGAGGAGATCAACTCTGACTGCTCTTTAGAAGGCCAGATAGTGAAGATGAAACTCAAATACTCTGGCCACCTAATGAGAAGGAAGGACTCACTGGAGAAGAGCCTAATGCTGGGAACAATTGAAGGCAAGAGAAGAAGGGGACAGCAGAGAATGAGGTGGCTAGATGGAGTCACTGGGGCAGTCGGTGTGAGCTTGGGTGGACTCCGGGGGATGGTGGAGGACAGAAAGGCCTGGAGGAATGTTGCCCATGGGGTCACAATGGGTCGGACATGACTTTGTGACTAACAACAACAAAAAAGGGATAGCTTCTCTTCTATACATATGAACATGTATGAGGTTTCATATATTAATTTGAATACATTCTTTGCAGTATTTTAGAAGAGCTACTAAAACTGATGTTAAACTCATAGGGAAGGGTTTAAAAATGGAGTATTCCTAGGAGTGATAAGGGTGGGCCAGAGTATGAACCAGGCCAGAGAAACAGATGTCAAAGACTCGGGCAATATTGTGAATACAAAAATTCCTGTCTCATATCATGGAAACGCACCAAAGTTTCATTCCTGAGCCCAGCACTCTTCAACATTTTTATTAATGATTTAGATGAGTAGACACACAGAATGCTTATCATATTTGCAGATGACACAATATTGGGTGTGATAGCTAATGACAGAAACAACATTCGAAGAGAACTTGATCTGTTGAAGCACTGGGCTGCAAACAACAGAATTAAATTTAATAGGCAGAAATGCCAAGTTCTGCATCTAAGAAGAATAAACCAAATACATAGTTGCAATGCTACTAGTGAAATAGATCTCAGAACTGTTCTAGGTCACAAGTCAACAATGAGTCAACAATGTGCTGCGCCTGCAAGAAAAGCAAATGTTTTTGTTTTTGTTGTTGTTAGTCATGAAGTCATGTCCGATCCATCGCGACCCCATGGATGACATTCCTTCAGGCCTTCCTGTCCTCCAAAAACAAATGTTTTCGTTGCAATAGTATAAATATCATTTCCAAATCACACAAAGTAGTAGTTCAGAACTGGCTGTGCCTCATCTTGAGGACTGTGTCCAGCCCTGGGCACCACAGTTTAAGAAAGATGCAGACAAACTGGACAAGTTTCAGCGGAGTGCATTCAAGATGATCATGAGATTGGAAACAAAGCCCTGTGAGGAGACTGAAAGTACAGGGTGGGTTCTCTTGAGAAGAGAGGACTGAGTGGAGATGGGATAGCATTCTCCAAATACTTGAATGGGTGCCACACAGAGGAATGCCAGAATCTTAATCATGCCATAGTACAGGACAGGGTCAAGTTACAGGAAGCCAGATTCTAGGAAAAAATTCCTGTTTGAGTAATACAACAATTGAACAAATTACCTAGGGAGGGTGGAGGCATTCAAGATGCAATTTGACAACCATCTGTTAGGGATGTACTTGGAGTTTTGCATTGAGCCTTTTTGGCCCTTCCAACTCTTGCTATTTCATGGTTTTAGACAACAGGTATCTTTTGTAGTTCCTGTGTAGTCCAAGTTATTTGAACAGAACCCTTTGTAAGTAATTGTCTTTTTCTCTTTTTTAGCCTTATGGTACAAGATATTTCTACCTCCTAATTTGGATAAATCCAAGAAGCATCCTCTTCTCATAGAGGTGTATGTACATTTTTCTTCAATTTTTTTTCTGGGGTTGGGTTTTTTTTTTTTTTTTTTGCCTTCCTTCCATGCCTACTTCCTATCGTTTGCTCATTTCTTAACATAGCCTTGCTTTGTGAGATGTCACTTTACTATATAGCACTGCAGCAACACATGGTTAAATTGTGCTCTTAAGAAAACAGAAGAGGGAAAAGTGAATTTGTGTGTGTGGGTGGGAGAGGAAATTAATTTGAAAACACCTTCGTAACTGGAGTAGAAAAGTACTGCCAGAGTGGTATGTGTATTCATGAGGCTCCCAGTAATTATGGGCATCTAGTGAAAACTTGGAAGAGTTCTTACTTCAGCCTGCAGTTATATTCTACTTGAGCAATACTTCACAGCATGGGGAATTGTGGAAACTGGCTTTGTTTCTGGATGCTGAGTTTGTGGCTAGAGAGCCAGAAGACCCTTCCAAAAACAGCAAAGAAGGCAACATCTTTATACCATAAAAAACAAAAAAGGGAACTTCCAGTTTCTGTTTTTTTTCTGAGAAATGAGTTTCTCTGAAGTTGTTCACACAACACAGTGAGCCATGTTTGTTTCAAACTGGTGTCTGACCGTAGTCAGAGTTGGTTGTACATGTTAAACAAATCATTATGCTGGGTTCAGACAATCCAATGAGCAACTCTGAAGCCAGCATGGCTCAGAAACTGCCATGGATGTTGTGTGAACTCTTTGACCAGGTTCACACAGTCATGGGGGGGAGAAGAAGTCACCCCCCATTTGCCAGTTGCATGCTGCATGATTACCTAATTAACCTTGTATCAGCTGAACCCAATGAGGTGCACAGGATTGAGAGGTGGGGCGGTGCTTAGGGTTAATGGCAAGCCTGCATTCTCCCCTAAAATGTTTGGCCGCTCTCATGTTTTGCAACAAAAACTCAGTGTTGATTGTTTTGCAATTGCTGGTGCCACAGCAGCAAATTTGTCAGCCATGGGGGCAGCAAGGACTGCATTGAGGCTGGGGGAAGCACCCTCTATGAACTCGTATACTCAATCCAATAAGAAGCTGAAGAAGCATACATATCTAGATAGAATCCAGGAACTGTTAGCCAAAGAATGTATAGATTTTGTTTTATATTATACCATATACTGTTTGAGCCAAAACTTTGAAAACTTGTTGCTCAAGCATTTGAGGAGATCTGAAAGAACTGATTCCACTTTGATAATATTCTGCATTCCTCCCCCTGCCCTCTGCTATATTCTGATGTTTTTAAAAGGTTATTTTGTAGTCCAAAATGCTGAACATGAAACTCCATGATCATTTGTTGTAGGTACGGAGGACCTTGCAGTCAAAATGTGAAATCCGCTTTCAGTGTTAGCTGGATAACATACCTTACAAGCAAGGAAGGGATTGTGGTGGCCCTCGTGGATGGCAGAGGAACTGCCTTCCAAGGGGATAAAATGTTGCATGCAGTCTATCGAAATCTTGGCGTTTATGAAATTGATGATCAAATCTCAGCTGTAAGGTAAGAATAAGAGTGCCATGCTAGAACATAGACTGAGGGCCCTCTAAAAGCATGATAGATTCTGTGGTCTGTAGAGTGCTGACACCATGGCTGGCTAGATAAATGTGGCGTATTAAATACTAGCCAGTTAAATACTTCGTACATGCAGGAAGTTCTAGAGTTCTTCCAAATGTGGCATATTAAATACTAGCCAGTTAAATGCTTTGTACATGCAGGAAGTTCTAGAGTTCTAAGTGGAGTACAATTAATTACATTTTATAAACTTTGTAAAGCCAATCAATCAATTTATATACTGATTGTTAGTCAAAATGGCTCTCTGGGTGGTTTACATAATCCATGGTATAGTGGATAGTGTGCTATATTCATTAACGCATGCCCCTACCATGTTCGATGTATTTTATATAAATGGCTCTTCATGTAACATAGAAGGAGCTCCAGTGCAAAGTAGCTCCATTTATTTGCAGCAAGAGCAACCACATCTTGTGCTGTTGCAAATACCGCCACATGCATTTGTAGAGGCAAACATCAGCTCAGATGAACTAGTCTTGTCCTCAACAGCTTGTGTGGCACTTTAAGACTCTGCTGGAGTATTTTATCTTGTTTTCTTTGTCCTCTTGTCCTCTCCGGTATTCTTGACCTTTTCAATAATTTCTTCTTGACTTCTGGATTTGGTGGCATCTTTGGACAGGGCTGTATGCTGGTTTCATAATGCTTTCAGTGCCTTGAGTTGTAAAAGACATTGATGGCACAGGTGTGAATGGAAATTGGGATGATGCTTCATGGGTGTGGACTAATTGGTGCAGAAACATTTCTTTTTAACATTGAGCAAGGTTTATTACTATGACTTGATAAATAATACAGGTAGATATCCAAGAATAGCACTTCTGAACTCTCATCTCCACACATGTAGTCCATGTACCTGATAGTCCTATATCTATGCAAGCACCCTCTTATCTCTTCCATACAATTTCTGCTTATTTGACTCTTCCATTTCCTCCTTGTATCAAGGATGTTGTTGCTTTTAACCTTGCTTTTTGAAAGCTAAGATTGAATTAGATCAGATATTTTACAGTTTACATTTGACCTTCCTATTGCTATCTCTTATTTACTTTTCTTTTGTACAGTGCTGCAATTTGCACTGCTTGCATTATAGTAACCATAAAAGTTATAAATTAGCTTTTATTACTCTGAAGTGTTCAGAGACAGCAGAGGATACTTGACATGAACAAGTCACTCAATTTTTCTGGTCATTTTCACAAAACTTCATTCATAATTCCACTGTAAACAGCAAAGGTTAAAAAAGCTTCAGAAGGATGCATTTTAGCATATACACACAATCCATAGATCTGTATGCATGCTATCTAAACATGCATGTTTGTGCACAGAGTTTCATCTAAAATTTCCCATTTTGTAGTCATTTTGATACATTTTTGAGCTAAAAGCCAAAATGCTAAATTGGGAGAAGTTCAAAATGCAGGATAATTACATTTTAATCAGTGTATTAATGTGGGAATTGCAAATCAGTTTGGTTCTCTCAGAAACGTGGACTGAACAAATCTTTGTGCATTATTTGACACGACTAGGTATCCATCCAGCTAATGTAAGGAAACTCCCACCCACTCTTCATTAGCAGTTCATTGCAAAAGTCTGGAAGTGGCTGGACTCCCTGCAAAAAGTATGCAAAAGCACGGACATTCTCTAATTTATAGTGGTTGTCAGGCCCAGTGTGTGGTCACACTGGAATGGTTTTGGTTTCTCATTTCTGAAGCTGCAAGGAAGAAGTAATAGCAAAGACCAAGAAGTGAGAGGAAGTTCACTCTGGCAATAGAAACATGCTGAATCAACATTTACATTGGCAGCTAAGACCATGATCCCCATCTGGTCTCACATGTCCCTTGGATATGATAATGCAGGAGACCTGTGTGTGGGCACTTTAGCAGAATGGTGTGACGTCTGCCCCATTGTTTTCTTTTGCCATTTGGCTTCTTTCTTCTGGTTTTCCTTGTACCACCATCACTATCTTCATCAAGTGAGCCATTCACTTAGGGCATGGAAAACAACTCATAAGCCATTGATTTCTGGCCTTTTTGTCATTTCATCTTTTTCTGCCTCCGCTGTTTGATAGTTTGCCTTTACAATGATTTAATTATTTTTACTTCCCAATGTTGATTGAATAAAGCCTATCCCAGCTGGGTGGTCCCCCTGGTAATATATTATGTTCTTATGCTCTTACTGGTTCTCATCAAGTTAGTAACCATCTTGCTTCTCTGGACTCTTCGCAAGGCAGTTTGTTTCCCCCATTCTTTGGCAGAACTACTGATAACCAGAACTTGGTCTTCCACATTTGTATCTCTGCTTTTTCTCAAAGCACCTCAGAGCAGTACCTTTGTCTCATATTTCTGTGCTGTGGGTTTGTTGGGAGTTACTGATTTGTCCACAGTTTCCACAGGTGAAGCAGGACTTGAACTTGGATTTCCCCCAGTCATGCCTAATATTCCAGCTCAGCCTTTCCCAACCTCGTACTCTCTAGCTGTGTGGCACAAGAACCCCCATAAACCCCAAATGGTCTTGCAGTCTGAGGAGGATAATATTGTCATCCCACATATCTGGATGGCAACAAGTTGGGGAACACTGCCCTACCATGGCCCTGCACTGGGTGTCTAGTGAAGAGTTCTGAGGAGCAAAAAGGTTGTCAGCTTCATGAGCACTTGTGATGATGAAATAAAGGTATTTTATCACCGGTCTGTTTTGTACTAACAAGACTTTTTTTAAATTTCAAACAGGAAGTTTATAGAAATGGGATTTATTGATGAGAAAAGAATAGCCATATGGGGCTGGGTATGTATCATTTAAAAAATATCTTGACTAGCTTTGTTTTATTTTGCCCTTGTCCTGAATAAATCTCAGTGAAGTATATGGAAGCTTGCTGTGTGGGATTGTCCTGGCTTGCCTTTCTCCAGGAGAATGTATTATGGGATGCCTAGGCTATGACATGGATGTGAGATTTTCAAGAATGGACATGAAACAGTGGCATCAGCGTTCAGGGCCCAGTTACCACTTCTGTTGCATCAGAGCTCTCCTTATTTCCATCCTAGGTTTGATTTCCCAGGAGTTCTGTCCGTCTAGTTCTGGGGGGTGGGGGGTGAGGGAGATCTACTGAGTCTTTGGTACAGCAAGTTTCTACGCCTAAAGGCAGTTCCCTAGGATAGACAGTAACACAGCTGGATGTGCTGCAGAGCAAGAGAACTGGTAGGCCAACTGAAGAGAGATCATGTGGACAAGGGACATAATTCTGCGATAGGGCATATGCTTTGCATGCAGAAGACACTAGGTCCAGACTCTGCCATCTCCGGGAAGGCAGAAAAATCTCCTCCCTAAGTGACAGTCTGTCAGTGTTAACAATACTGGGCTAGATGGACCAGTGGTCTTGTTCTGTATAAGACAGCTTTGCTGTGTTTCTAAAGGATGCTATCAACAATTAATTTCTTGTGGCCACTGTAAATGTTACATCATCTCAGATTTTTCTCCCAAGAAGGTTTCAACCACACTCTCTTCAATCTGTGGTGTGCTGCCAGGAAAAAGTTTCCTTCTTGGCCTACATTCCCACAGCAGCAACTTGCCCAGAAGCACAAAACAAGCCAGATTTTAAAATGAAAATATTTAAAACAGAATAAATTGCAGGTTTTAGAGGTCAGACTAATTATGTGTGTGTGTGAGAGAGAGAGAGAGAGAGCGAGAGAGAGCGAGCGAGTGAGCGCGCAGGCGCACATGCAAAGTTCTTAAATTATCAAACTTCTTTCTTCTTTGGCTGTTGGCTTATGTTGACAACCTACACTCAAGGGAATGCATCAGGATGTACTTAAAGGCTATTATGAATAAGAGGTTCTGATGTTGGGCTTAGTATCTGAGAAACTATGTCTGTGCACGCTGAATTTGTTGAGGTCACCCAGTCCCATGTCTTCAGGACAGATAACATAAATTAAACATGAAAACCTGGTTCTTTTTCGCCAGAATGGCTCACAAAATGATTCCGTCTGTTATGGTTGATGTTATTATTTGTATGACAAAGCTTCCTTCTCTGCTACTCTTCCCTTCACCTCTCTTCCCTTTGATTTCTTGTCAGTTATGTTTTTGTCCCATGGGAAATAATTACATTTAAAGTTTTAAATACTGTACCACTGAGATTTTGGAGCATTTAAGAAGCAGTAATATTGATCCATGTTGTACTGCTGGTGATTTTGTTTTTCCACTCCATAAACCTATTTGGTTGTTAGCTAGAACATCTTGCTTGCTTGCGTGTACATGGCTGTGTTTAGCAGGTTCTTTTTTCAGGCCCAAATTCTGCTTAGCATTCTGTACTGTTCTTTAAGCCTCCTGGTGAAGGAAAAATGTTTTCACAGCTTCCTATAACTTACAGGATAGAATTTTTTTAATGATTTTCAAGCATTCAAAGGCTTTTTACATGCTGCTGTTTGCCTTCTCAGGCTGCATTAATTTCTCTGTTTTATATTCCTTCTACATCTTGTTCTGTGCATTAACATGGGATAGATAGAGAATCATAGAGCAATATGGTTATTATTTCTAAACAATAATGACCAATAGATTACATCTTCCTTCAACAAGTTAGGGCTAATCTGCAGTTGAGCCTCACTTTCTTTTCTTCCAGGTAACTATGTTTGGGTCTCCAGTCCAATGTTTAAACTTTCTCACTGACTTGCTTCTCACCATTGGTGCCAGTGGAGGATTCCCCCCCACCTTGTTTTAGCAATGTGGGGGTGGGGATGGGAATTGAGGGGGAGAAAATGGGTGGGTGAGGAGCTTTAAGCTTCTCCTAACTGCATGTAGTGAACTTGATCCAGATCAGGCCCTGTGTGCTTACCTGGAAGTGAAAAAGAAAGTGTGATCCAACTCCATGCTGTGTCCTAATGCAGCATGCAGTTTAGCCCTTCATGGCTGCTCATCTTCAGCCGACTGAAAGACATTTTTGCTGTGCAGCGTCCTCCTTTTGCCGGAACTTCCACAAGAATGCAAACAAGGATGTTTGTTTAAATACTTCCTGCTGGCCCACTGCATTCTTCTGTCCTTACGGTGTTCCACAGTTTCCCTTCTAAACTTCCTCCAGACGGCAGTCCCTCTGATGGCACTGCTCACCATCCCCTACAATTTCCAACTAGTTCCATCTTTCCCTGCAACCTGTAGTTCTTAGGGTTCTTGAGTGAGCAAAGATCTAATCTGACTTGTTTAGAAGCACGGATAAGTAATTAGTCTTTTTAACTATTTAGTGTTTTAAGCAAGTCAATTTAGTTAAAAGACCTGTTGCTGCTGCTCCTCAATTCCATTAGGTCCTTAGAGCAAGATTATCTCTGTTGGCAATAGCTTTTAGATTTAGGAAGCTATCTCTCAGCCAGAATCTTTTTCATAGTATTTCTTTTCCATTTCTGAATGTTTCTGGCAAGGATTAGACATATTATAAACATATCAACAATTATTAACCATGATAGCTAAATGGAATGTCCCAGTTCACTATAACTGGCTGGAGGAACGGGACCTGGCGTAAACTTAGAGATGTTTTTTAAACTATTATAGATTGATTTGAAATTTGACTTTAGAATGTTAAAAATATGTAGTAGGAGGTTGACCCAGTAAATCCAATGTTTGTCATGTTTGATGTTTTCTAGTGTTAGTTTAAAATGTTAAAAAGGAATGTCCCAGTTCAAAGGAGGTATGCCTTGGAATATCACTATCTGCTATGATGTTTGCCATAATTGTGAAAGCCAATGAACTGCTTCTGACATGATGTTCTGTGCTTGAAGGATAAGCTATTAAAATGTTTATGCATGTGTCGCCAAAATGGATCCACATTATGTGGATACTGCAATGTTTCCAGTATGTGTCTGCAAACAGCATGTTAGATTTCTGATGGATCCTATTCACAGATGTAGGTCTAGTAAAGTTTTATAATTGACTAATCCCTACACACACAATTCTGTATTGAGACACTTGATTGTATTTTAATACTTTGCCAGTGAGCAGGAAATGAACATCAGATATAGTCCCATGTTTGCTCCTAATCCCAAATAATTTCAAAAATCAGTGTGGAAATTTTTAAAAATCACCCATAGCTTTCTGCCTGTCTAGAGTTTGGTTGCCATTTACATTGAATGAGGCTACCAAACTCTAGCTAATGGCTGGGAGTTTATCTCCTCTGCCTTTGGAAAGTGCTTATTAGAAGGGGAAGAGAAGCAATGTTTTTTTTGGGGGGGGGGCTTGTATTATCCCTCAGAGACAAAAAGAATCAGTCTGTGTCTCAGTAGCATATCTGTAAATTTTACTGGACTGGAAGCTTCATGGAGTGTGGCAGTGGTTCACACCCGTGCAGAGCAAAGTTGGTGTGATGCTTGTCAGAAGCCCATCGGACCACTGCTCCTTTCAGCAATTCTTCATGCCCCTTCAAGAAAAAAATGTGAAAGTGCTGGTAGGCTAGGAGGTGCTGGAGGAAAAGGATCAATGTTGTTGAAGCAATTGATTCAACACACCTTCACCTCAATCCGTTGTACTCAGCACAATTCGAATGTCGCAGTTGTCCACCCGCACTGCATTCTTCCCCGTGCATTCTTGAGGAAGCTCAGTTGGGCAAGGTGCAGGAGGAGTAAAGCTGGGTTGAGGCTCAGCTGGCAACTGAGTGAGCCGTCCTCTCGGTGTTGGCTGAGTCCCTTCGAATGCACTTGCTGTCCAGATGGGGACAATCAGCAGCAAGCAAGCTCAGCATGTGATCAACCCGGTGCCTGGAGAAGTGGCCCCTCCAAGATCTGGCTTACTGCCTTTCTGTCTCTTCTTTTTCTGCATGAAAATGGGGGGATGGATGCTGCAGTGGGAATTGACGATGTCAGGGGACAAGGTCGGGATTTAGAAGGGTGCATCCCAGATCTTTGCACTGCCTCAAATTATATCAATAATAAAAAACCTTTCCCACTCTGGTGCACTCCAGATTTGTTTGCTTGTTTGACAATATTTCCATACAGCTCCATATCTAGACAAATTCTAGAGTGGTGAAGAAAGCTAGACTATGTTGTTTCTATTCTATAAAATAATAGAAACCACACAGTCAAAACAGAGCTGTATCACAGCTCCTATCATCCCCAGACAGTTCCTCATGCAGTTCCTCATGTAGTATAAGCACTAGGCTGGGGAAGACTGGACTGCAGCAATGAAACTGCCAGCACAATGTGACAAGCGGGGAGTGCTGGCCATGTTCCAGTCTAGCAGGAAAACAATTCTTACCAACCGGAATAGCTTCAAAGCTGTAAAACCTGTTTTGAACCATTTTCTCTGAGTTTTCTCCCTTCACTCATGCCTTCCTCTACTTTCTTTTGCTTCCTGTTCTTTCCTTACACGGTTTGTTATATAATATGCAAGCAAACAAGCAAAACACCCCTCATCTCATGTCTCTCTTCATGTCTTCCTCCGCCTTGGTTTTCCTCCCCCAGCTGTTTTGCACATGTGCACAGCTGTAATTTACCAGGCAGTTTTTAATTCTCCACTGCTGCACATCATCAAAGGTATGTATGCAGCTAATGGACTAAACAACAAAAGTTTAAATGCCACCATCCCCACCTTTTTCACTGCAATTCCAGCACTACTGAAGTTTCTGCCACTCAATTGTGCTGCAATAGCACACAAAACACATGCGACCTTTCACATTCTTCTTACTTCTCCCATAATTAAAACACTCTGTACTTGCACGTGACACTTGCTCATGTAACAAATATGGTGGTTGCTGTGCTGCAGTAATGGGTGTGGACCCCTAGAACAGTTGCTGTGTTGTGAAAAAATGCAGGCCATGCCTCCACACAAAGGGGTTCCAGTGCAGATCCTTCCTGGATGCCTATGCAAAGCCCATAGCAGAATATGAGTGCAACAGCACTTTCCAGCTTGCATTCCCCAGCAGTTAAGTATTCTGAGATATACTGCCTCTGATACTGGAGAAAATATGTAGTCACCCTTAAGAGTAGCCATTGTTAGTCTTATCCTCCATGTATTCATTTAATCTCCTTTTAAAATCTTGCAGGCTGATAGCCTTCCCTATATCTTGTGGAAACAAATTCCATAGTTCAGTTTCTCTGTGTATCAAGATATGGTACTTTTTGCCTGTTTCCCATCAGATGACTCCAGATTCTTAATAATGTGGGGTAACATGGGGGTGGGGGCATTTTGCATTCTCTTTCTGATAGTGAAATCTTAGTTTCAAGAGAAACTTCATTGCAGATGATCTGGGTGTGGAAGGTGCTCTGTTTGTCTCATAAAGGCATTTACTGTGTAAATGAAAAGTGGTTGGAAATCCCATGTGCTTGGTAGAGAATTATTCAGAACTTATTCAGGAAAAACTCTCTTTCCTTGCTTGCCAAAGCAAATATTCCCTTTGGCTTTAAGATTTAACCACTAGGATTCTTAAAAAGCAACTGCAAAGGATTAACTTCCCTCTTCCTTCTCTTTAGTCTTACGGTGGCTATGTAGCCTCGATGGCACTTGGATCTGGAACTGGAGTGTTTCAGTGTGGAATAGCAGTGGCTCCTGTTTCCAGCTGGGAATATTACGGTATGGAAATAACTTGCAAGCATCAATCCTTAAAGCAGGACACAGACACTGTATTATTTAAAAAATGAGGTCAGTGCAAGGAGCCCAGTCACTTGCAAAATTTACAAGATATATCAACTTCACCTAGAAACAAATTCTTCAAAATATTTTTAGAAGAAGCATATTTTAAATCAAGCACAATTCCCTTTGCCATGGTCATTTGGCACTCTAGAAGGACTGGGTTGCAGTAGTTTGTTGAGTTATACATAATTGCATCTCCAAAGTATGTTAATACAATAAAAATAGGAAAGGTGAAGACCCTTTTCAAGGGCATCTCTGGGTCCTTTTGACAGCTGCTTCCTGTCCAAATGTGGATGATGAGCAGCATTGAGCTGTGCTAGTCAACAAAATGTCAGCTGCTGCCTCATTCAGGTACTCATAGGTCCTCCAAGAATAAGCAAGGATTTTGAAAGAAATCAGTAAACCAATCCATATAGACCAGATTGCCTCCCTATGACCATAACAGTGGACCAAGTGATACCAGAGGGACAGGGTCCCACCACAAAGCCCCTCTCCTTCTGATGTCATCAGGCATGCTGCCCCATGGACTTTTTCCCATACAGAGAGAGGTTGATGCCTCTCTCCAGCAAGAAGAAACTCAGCTGCAGCTTTCAGGACTGAGTCCTACAAGTCCCAGCTGAATCAGATACCATCCTCCGTGCCACTTGGATCCCACCTGGGGTGTGAGCTGCATGGGAGGGGACTCAGCTGGACAACATAGGACTCATGTAGGGGACGCTCACTCCCCTACAACGAATGGGAAGTCCCCTTGTTATGTCTGATTCCTCTCTCCTTGGGGGAGGGTGCAGAGGGTGCCTCACCTTCCACAGACAAGATTCAGCACCTCCATTGCCAGGATTAGATCTGCAGGCCAGAGGTTGCCCTCCCAGATTTAGACTCTTGTGAAGAGACTTGGGGCTTTTCAAGAAAGCTGGAACTAATGGCTTTTCAATGTCTGGAAGACTGTTAGGATAGTGGGACAGTGGGCAGAGTTATTAGGAATGTGTGAATAAGAAAAACTTTAGATCACCAAAATTCTGTGAATTCCATCTGGAAGCTTGTTCAGACTAAAGTCTGCATCAGATTTTGAGCTTGCTTTCTTCCTTTTCACATGGAAACCCATACATATCTCTGTATGGTTTTTTCCAAATGTATGCATCAGCTTTGCACATGTTTGAAATGTATTAATTCTTCTCCCATGATCAAAATACATTTGTGCACTTTTTTGAAATATATGCATTTTGAAATGCATGCATGCTATCAAATACTCTCTCTGTGTGTGTTTGTTCAATAATCACATTACAAGGATTGAGTCCTGATTAAATGTGCAAATTGAGTAATGTCCTGTGGGGGGACGACCTGAAATGAATTTCTTGTACATTATTAAGGTCACTTGCTGCAATTGTATAGCCAAAATTCTGTAACCAGAATAAAGAATGAAAATGATAAATTGTATATCTATATAAACTGAAAATCAATCAGATTTGGTTCTGCATTAGCAAAAGAGCCACTCTTTATCTGGGGTAGGAAAGGCAACCTGATGAAAGCCATAACCAGCATGGCCAAGGTTAGGTGGCAATGGAGTTGACGTCCAAAGCATCTAGAGCGAATCAGATGGCCTACCCTCATCTAAGATATTTCTAGGCATTTCTAGACTAGATATCCTGTCTACATTATAAAACAGCAGAGGATAAGAATTGAAGATAGGAATGAGGAATTGGTCTGACTGAATGGATAGGAGCAGTATGAGGAAAGTAAGAGAAACTATGTCCAGGAGGATCGACAAGGAATAATTTTAATTTGGGAGAAGTTAATGAAGGAAATCACATGCAGTTGTCATTCATTTAACTCGCCCTTCCCTGGTGTAGAGACACAGGGAAGATGGTTGGTGCTTTTAGTTTGGACCAGGCAAGTCATTTGGTGCACTGACAGCATTGATCGCTGCCTATGTGAGAGGGAGGAGCCACACACAGAAACCCATTTCCACCACCATTCCCACCCATTTGTACCTAGTTGAACAAGAGAGATAATATTCTCTATCTGCTTTAGATACTCAGAAGTGAGCCTTACAGTTTATTTACAAGTAAAGGTTTCTCTGGTGCATATAAGGCATCTTGAAATCCATATGCTTCAAGAATCATTTTAAGACTATTATCCCATCATAGTCATTTACAAATACGAGATGCAGTTGTGCTAAACGGAAGAAGTGGCTAATGGATTTTCCTTCTTTTCCCAAAAAGCATCTGTGCTTATTGAATTATGTGGTTGTCTGTGCCCCTTTTACAAGCCAAAAAGAGCTTATTTTGGTGATGTTCCTGGTTTAAGATACAGCCGGCCCAACATTTATGAGTGGAGCTCCACCCGTCTCCTTCCATGACTGGCTTCAACTACTGCTGATTTCCCCTCCCCCATATACTTCTTAGGCAAATATTTCCAGAAGCGAAGCAAATTCATACACACACTCTAAACTACCTTGGGGCTCAGCGCAGCCACAGTTAACTGTGAAGTTTTGATGGTGCCAGTGGAACTGATAAGCACTTGATTTCTTTCCCAATGGAGTTTTCAAATTCTCAACTTTGGCTGGGTTGAGCATTTAGCCTAGGCCAAGCCTGCACAGGTCATTACTCCCATGTAGCAGCCATGGATTTATCCAAAGTCCTTGAACCCCAATCCTGTTTTCTAGTCCTAGGATATCTTCACTGAGCCCCAGGTATGGTTGGCCCAATGCATTCTGCTGGTTATGCCTCACACGTGCTGCCTCGGGAGCCAGGGAGCGTTGTATCCAAGGTTTATCAAGTAATTTCGGCGCTTCTTCCCCCCTGGACAATAAAAATGCAGTGCTAATGTATCCAGTGCACAACAGTTTGCAGCCCTTTCATCAGCAACTGCCTAATGGTGGGCTGGCCCCAGTGCTACCATGGATGAGCTACAGGGAATTGCTAGTGGGCAATTTTATGTGTCTGATGACCTCTGCCCCAGTGGGTTACAGAGGCAAGTTCTGGACAGACAAAAAGCTTCAAAATTGATTGTTCAGATTACTGGAAATGATTCCTGTGAATGTACGGCAATAAGTAAATATAATTATTCATCCCACATGGTTTTTGCTATATATAAATGTATATTTGTGTGTATTGTCATACCAGCTTTTGTTGTACATTGCAGCATCCATCTACACAGAAAGATTTATGGGCCTTCCAACTGAATCAGATAATCTTGAGCACTACAGGGTAAGAATCGCAGAAACCTTCCCATTCTGCTCCTCACATTTCTTCTGTCTTTCTCCACCTGGCTCTGCCAAGGGTATGCTTCCTCCGTCCCTTTCCACCCTCATCTGCTGCTGCTTCTGTTGGACATAATCTCAAAATGGCAATTTTGGGTAGGACTAGATTGAAGAAGAGATTCTGACAGGGCTGCAGGATGCACAAATCAGTTTCGTGGATATGATTGCTTCCTAAAGGGATGTTGCTAGTGAAAACATTAGCCTCCACAATAATATCGTGAGAGCACTTCCTTACCAGATTTTAATCCTTAGGGTACTTTCTGACATTTTCAGCAGAATAAGGACTAGAGAGAGAAAATCCCCATGCACCAATCTTCCACTTCAGATTGCAGCCTGCAGAACTGCCATTTAAAAAAGAAAATAATTTTTGGAGATAAATGGTGCGTGTCTGAGTAACACACGTCATTTGGTTTATTATGCACAGAATTGCCTTTTACACCTTTGCAAGACCATTTGTTCCCATAGAGTGTGTGTGTGTGTGCTGTGGGGAGGAGAATGTTAGTGCTTGCGGGGCAAAGGGAAAGCCACAGAACTTTCAGGCAGAAGCTGACATATTTGGATGCGGTGACTAAAACAATGTTTATCTTCAAAACTAAACTAAGAGAGTAACTAAGGGGCATGTAGGCTAAACGCAGCAGTCCCATGGCCATTTGCTTACAAATGTCAGCCTCAGTGCCTAATAGGATTGTCGCAACATTATGCTGCTGAGGACAAGCATCTTCCCCACAGAATTGCCCCTGAGGAGGAAATGGAACATTTTCCCATGCAGAGTCTGGCTCACAAGGTGCTTGGAGCAGTGGCTTCGCTTTTTGTGTTGTGGTTGTTGTTGTTTGGGGGAGAGGTTGGGGGGGGGGGGGATGTTAAAATAAAGCATGTGTCATCTAGTCAAAAGGTACTCTTGTCACCCAAAGGTGCTATGCTCTTATCCTCAAATTAATACAATCTGCAGGGAGGGTTTTTCCCCACACTCATATTGCAAAATTTCCAAAAAAAAGGCTTGGCTGAATATTCTGGCCAAGTATTTGTTTGAGACACAGAAAGTTGGACAAAACTAGGATAGCAATACTTTTCCCTGACCTGCTGGCATATGTGACGTGTGTGTGCAGGTAAAGAGGGCAGGAGAAAGTAAGATGTCTGCCTGCAAGCCCCTGTATCCTTCCTCATGAGTAGGTGTGAGTAAAGCAAGGCCTGCTGAACTGCCACATCAAGTGCCTGAGCACCTCTAGTTCTTATCCCCAAATGACTCCGTGCCAGGACAAACTATACCAGTGCGCATCAGTTCCCTGACCAACCATCCACTCCTGCCATGAAGGGCACTGGGACCACTGCAGTTCCCATCTTCACTGGCAGGGAAATGAGGGGAGTCCTGTCAGTTTCTGCTGGGAGATGGCCCTCAGCAGACAGATCCTTCTCTCCAGTGGAAACACATGTAGGTAGTGTCCATTGCCTAGTGAGGATGCTGGGGCCTACAGTCCTAAAGCGTCCCCAAGCAGGAATAGATATTCTGCCAGGGAGCCGTTTTCCTCTGCTCCTGACCCAGATAGTTGGTTTTCTAGGAGGAGAGAGGTAGCCACTTTTGAAGTAGGAAGGTAGCCACTTTTGAAGACCATGAGCATTTTGTGTGCACAAAAGCTTGTGCAAATAAACAAGCCCCTTTTGGGACAAGCACGTGGATATTTCTGCATGTCTAATAAATATAAGATACCTACCACCACCACCTTTACTACTAACCCTCTAAAGTAGCACACTTGAACAAGTGTTGCACCCTGTCATGCCTGCCAATGCAACATAGCACACTGCTGCATCAAATTGGAATGACAGGAAATCTTGTTTACACACTTCCTCCTGCACTTATCCTGAAGTGCTCAGAACAGCTTGCATATGACGCCCAAGCCAAGTTCCATCCAAAACCCGAACAAGTTCAGTCGTCCTGGTCTCAGTAGTGCCCTTCCATGCATTTTAGGCCCTTTTCTCACTTGGTAACTGCTGCTTGCCCAAAAAGCTCTTGGCCTCACATAGTCCTAAAGAAGTAGCAGTTCAAAATCGTTTTTCTGCCAGGTTTTCATGACAGATTATCTTCTTAAATGCAGACTCTCAGCTCTAGACTGGGTTCCAACAGCACAGTAACCCAAACCTGACTGTGGGTTTTTGTTGAACCATGAGTTATGTTTGAAAGATGGATTATTTTGCTATCTGAACCCTGCTGCCCTAAGACACCATGGTTTGCTAACCATGAAAAACCCATGAAGAGAATCCGTGTTTTGTTGTAGGCTGTGAGCTGTGCATTGCTCACCAGGGACTGTTATCTTGGCTGGCTTCGGGCAGTACAATAAACCATGCTTCAGCAGAAACCATGCTTCAGTGGCAATCCACAACCAACCCACATTCAACCACTGACTGGGGGTTACTCTGTTGCCCGAACCCAGCCTTTGACTCTGTCCTCCTCCTCCAGGGCATCTCCAGCAGACAGTATGGAAGCTTTTCACTATGCTTGCAAAGCCCATGATTTAGGACTCATATCCTGACAGAATGGAAGGACTGCTTAGTTCACGTCTTCGTGGCCAGCTGATGCTGATTACTACCACAGTCCTACAGGCACCTGATAATGAAGAGAGGCACCCCCATCGTTTTGTGTTTGGCAACCACTGAATTGCTCATTGTTTCCTCCCCCCCTTAACAGAACTCGACGGTGATGTCAAGGGCTAAGAACTTCCATAATGTGGATTACCTTCTCATCCATGGAACAGCAGATGGTGAGATTTATTAAAAGCCAGTACAGATCCTGAGAGAGAATCACTTTGTTTAAGAAACATTAAGCATTTTTCTGCGACAGCGATTAGGGTCAGTACTTTGAGACTCATTTCCATTCTCCATTCTGCTGACTCATTGTTGATCATGTCTGCCCTATAGCTTGATAACTCATAGCGTGAGTCTAATGCACTGCAGTTGCGAGCCTTCTGGTATTTGCCAGGATAGTATTTTTACCAGCCACTTTCACCCTATTAATTTCATGTTTTCTTTTATTCTTTCTTTAATTGTTCCAGATAATGTACATTTTCAGAATTCGGCACAGATCTCCAAAGCCTTAGTCGATGCTCAAGTGGATTTTCAGGCAATGGTAGATATAATCTATCTATTTAAGCTTTAATATGCAGCCTTAAGAACAACTCTATACAGAGCACATATTTTGCAGAAATGTCTAGTCTAAGATTCCATTTGCACATTTGTAAGCCTCACAGGGACGAGGGCTCAGAGAGGCCACTTCAATAAGTTTAAGGTGTATTGAAAAGATGAAGTGGGGACAACTGTGAATCCTTTGAATAGTCTTGAGAGCAAGTGAGACAGTTTCTCCTAAAACATCTTCAATGTCCCCAAAACCAATATCTATTATGTTTAAGATTTTCACAGTATGGAGTCACTGTTCACTTGCTCAGAGGGACACTCTACAACATTATACACATTGCCTTAGGATAAAGATGCGAAACTGAAAATAGGTTATGGGCAAGCCTTGGTAAGCCCTAGACTGGGGCAGAGGGAGAAGATTACAGCTGGAGGGACACTCACAGGAGCCACAGAGCAGTCCCGATATGGGGAGTGAAAGGGAGTATGGCATGGGAGAGGAGTTATGCCCCCTAGCTTCTTAGATTCCCAGTGCAGGAGACAGAAAGCATAAAGTTGAGTGCATTCCCACAGATGCCAAGGTTATTTTAATGTTTGGAAGGGAAGCAGTTAATTCTGGCTAGGAAATATCTATGATACAGCTATCCAAATGTAAATGGAAAAAACTTTCCTGCAGTGGGCCATTTTATCAGTCTTAAAGGTTACTTCGCTTGATAGCTGCATTGATTGCTTCCCATTCTGATGCACAACTTAATACTCATCATACTTCTTTTAATTTCACGATATTTGAGAACCAAGTCAGTGCAGGGCAATTTTCCACCAATGCCATGTTTGCAGCAGAATCCAAAAGCACGGATAATATTGACATCCCCTGCACGATTTTTGGCTTTGTTTGATGATGATGATGGTGGTGATGGTGACGCTGGCTGCTGTTTGAACATCACATCCTCCACCTCCAGATCACAACATGCTTTGAAACACTTTTCAACTGTGATTCGCTTGTGTGTGTGTATGTGCGCGTGCGTGCGTGCATGCATGCATGTGTTGTGGGGATGTGGGTAGGTAGGTTTCCTGTCAGGGCTACAAGTCAGAATCTTCCCCTTGGGCTCACAGAACTGCTCCCACAAGTGCTTTGGAACTTTACTGTTACCTATAAGATTAAGTTGCATGAAGGTCTTTTATTCTTTTTCAGTGGTACACTGACCAGAACCATGCAATCCCAGGCCTTTCGTATAAGCATCTCTACATTCATATGACCCATTTCCTCAAGCAGTGTTTCTCCCTGCCTTAAAGAGGGCGATTTCCCCTTCCCAGGCCTTCGTATCAATGAGAACAATGCACGCTTTGCTATAAAGCCAAATCTGCTGCACAGATTAAGTATATTCTGAAGAAAGGAAGTGAGAATTAAAGAAGGTTTGATGTTTACAGTCTCATTGACACTTGTGTATTAGCAAATAATATGACAGTTTGTTTTCGGGTACATTTATTTGATATGAAGCAAACAAATAAAAATAAAACTTGTCTTTTAAAGGCTGTACATTTTGCTTTTTTACCCATCAAAGCTGAAATCTGAGAATAGCCAGGATTTACAGCTATTGGGAAGGAACATAGGACATCAGGAGTCTGATTAGGCTAGTATGACTCTTGAGCCCATGATGCAGCATTGGGAAAGAAGGCTAGTCCACTAGAGCATCGGCACACAGAGAAGAGGCTAGCCCACCTCCAAGGGGAACCCTCCAGAGGGATGGGGTCCAGACTTACTCAAAAGGAAGGTTCTTAGAAGTAGTTGCTAGATTGGATTCATCAAACCACTCTGTGCATGCTCAGAGGCTCATTCTTTGTTGGTTGTACTTACTGGAAATGCACTGGAGCATAAAAAGCCTTTTGCCAAAGAACAGCCTGTTGTTTTAGAAGTGCAAAGAGGGAAACCTAGCTTGCGACACTTCCCAGAGTCTCCAGGGGAAGGAGTAATAGATCAAAGGGCCCCAACTGAGGGAAAAGGCTGTTTCTGCTCTACTTGAATTTTTTTGCTATCAGTTCCACCATCCTGCATCCATCAAGCTGTGTCCCTGGTCATCAGGCCCTGCTAAGCACCACCTCCTAATTTGCCAGGTAGGAAGCAGACACTCAACTCCTTGGCTTCCCAGCTATATCCTATTTCAGGGTCTGAGCTTCAGAAGTCCCGACAATCCTGGTGGTGCTACACCTGTATTGCAGTCCTTAATGTCCACTCAAGTTTGGAGTGGGTGGGGAATCTACAGGAAGTAGTAGATGAAATGGAGGGGAAGGTGTACATCACTGTTCTATGTTTTAACAGACATTGGTTGTGTTCAGATGACCAGTAGCTCAAGCCACAGTGGGCTGCAGTGTATGTTGGCAGCCAATCTGAGTAGTCGAGCATTTTGAATACTCCTTGTTACTTCGTCATCAGTACAACAAAGGTTGTTTAACCTTCATGGTTGCTGGGATTGAATGACACAACAAGCTGCAGCCACAGTTTGAACATTAAGAAAGCTCCCAGCATACACGGGTGTGACTTAAAGAAGCCACGGTGAACAGTGGAGATCATGCCTACTGGATCATTCCCTTGCTCAAGGAAGACTTGGTAACTATTGGTCTGTAAAGAGGATTAAGGAACTCCAACAATACTCTTTATATACTGACCACACTACAACTCCCAGGATTCTTGGGGAAAACCTATCACACTTAAAATGACATAAATGATAAAAAACCAGTGTATAACAATTGTTATTGTAATTATTGTTGCTGTTAATTGCATTTTTCAATAACTTTTCTCTCCAAAAAAGACCAAATGCAATTTATAATAAAATTATTAAAATAATACCACCTATTAAAATGGTCTGCTCCTGCATGCTGATGGATCTGGCTGGTTTCCAGAGGATTCCTGGGGACAGGTTTGGGACAAACCCTTTTGGAATCTGTCCTTCTAGCATCTGCAGACTTCCTCTTGTGCTTGGCCCACTCCACTCCTCCTCCTCCCAAATGCTATCTACCTGAACCTCACTACCATATCTAGGGACTACCTCTGATTGCCATCTCTGAGGGAAGCTTGATTTGTGGCAACAAGAAGAAAGGACTTATTAGTGGTGGCCTCCTAGTTATAGAACAAGCAACCCACTGAGACCTGCCTGATGCGAACTCTAATATCTTTTTGGCCCCAGGTTAATTTAATACTGTCCTGTATGACAGGGCATTTAATTCGTTTTCATATTATATTGAGGCATTAGGTCAGCTGCTTACCAGATCCTGTGATTTAATTTGTATCAGCTACTGTAGCTTTAAACTTTGGCTTTAAAATTTTTGTCTTGTAACTTTTATAATTAAAACAACAGTACAGTTCATAATGAAAACAACTGATACATAAAAGCCCCATCCTATCCCTTCAATTGCCTGGAGTAAAGGACAGTCTTGTTCAGTCACCAAAATGATGGCAATGTTGCCACTCTTACTGCTAAGTATGTTGCAAAATTGGGGACCTACCACTGCAAAACGCCCCGTCCCTTGTTGCCATCCTTTAAACATGTTTTGGAGGAGGCAGTAAGAAGAGGGTTCCAGCAGTTGACCTCAGTGTATGGGTGCATCTCCAACAGGAGAGCTACTTCAACAGGTATTGCTATGCAAGGCTTTGTCAGCAGAAATAAGCACCTTGATTGGCTTGGAGACAGACAGGTAGTCAGTGCAAAAGGGCCATAATCAGTACGACATGCTCAGACCATCACTCTGGATGCTGCCATGTTGCACAAATGACTGTTATGTATTTCTATATTACCCAAATAGCTGAAGCTCAAGCCATCGTTTTCCAAACCATTGTCTACAACAGTCCCATATAGACTGAGGTGCTTTGATCTAACCTGGAGTTTATACAGGTTATACATAGGGATATCATGTAGTGCAGATAAACCCTAGTCCAGGTCTGGTATCCTCCAGATCTTTTGGACTACAACTTCCATAATTCTGGACCATTGGCCATGCTGGCCAAGGCTGTGAGAAGTTGTCATCACATATCTGGAGTCTTCCCAGTTTTCTATGCCCATGAACATCACTACAAATTTTTAAAAAGAAGTACTTGAATTAACAGCAGGCCATTAATGGATTTTTTTAAAAAATTGATTGGATCTTTAAAGGAGAATGAAATGAATCATTTGACATAAGAGTGATTAAACAAAGGATTGGTCTACTGTGTTAAAACTGCAGAAGTGGGAGTTAACCTGCCGCTCCAAAGCTACAGCCTTTGTTTGTTTCAGCCATTCTGATATTCCTACCACAAGATTTTTCAGAGACAACAGACACATCTTCTATGTAATTGCCTCTGCCAAGCTGTTTTTGATGATTAAATTAAACTTTGATAGGAACTCTTTAGAAAATATTAAATTCAGCAAAGGATTTTTGGAAACACTGCCAATTAAGAGACACTAATGAGCTTTTTGTTGGTAATGTAATTAGAATTCAGCTGCTCTAATTGGTAAAGGGGTAAAATTATAGCTCTGAGAAAGTTAACATAAAAATAAGCAAATATAACATGGAACAGACCTAATTAAAGAGGCAATTACAGGGGCTCTGTAAGTAGTCCGCTTGCAACGCCACACCTACTAGCACAATAATTTTTGCAAACAAGGGAGATGATGAATTAATAAAGCCAAGACTTCTGATCCATTAAAACGGTTTCACTATTGTAGCCACGGTTCTTGGTGCAGAAACCTCCTGAGGTTTGTTTGATCTTATGACAATAGATTATCACTTCCCTTGAAAGTCATTGAAAGTCTTGTCTAGGCAGAAAGCTCCAAATACATAATTGAAATTTCACTTTCATAGATGACATTTCACAAACAGATTATGCTTTTCACAAGATCTCCCCACCCCCACAAGAAGTCCTTGAATACCTGCTTTTGTTGCTGCATTTTGTTTTTGGAGGAAGTGGGCTAAGTACTGGTTTCCAGGCCTAATTTAAAGCAGTTGAAGCTCTAAATAGGTTGGGACAGGACCACCTCCACCTGTATAAGGACCATACAGGACCACCTCCACCTGTATGAGCTTACTGTGCTTTGAGATCAATGTCTTCAGCCCCATTCTCAGTGCCATTTTAAGGAATTATTATTAATTTCAGTTCTATACCACCTCATTGCAGTGGCAGAGCAATCTCAGTGGAGGTTCCAAATTTATGGAATTCGCAATTTCCTAATACTCCTGTCCTCCAATGTTCAAGCAGCTCCACCATTGCGACTTTTTCCTTAAAACAGTGAATTTCATTAAAATTTTCAAACTGCATTTTGTTAATTGCTGTCCTCTCAATTTTTTGTAATGTGCACATCAAAGGAGTTCTTGAACAGTGAATTCATTGTTACTGTTGTTGTTACATTGCATTTATATCCCACCTTTTTCCTTTTGTGAGGAGTCTAAGGCATCTTAAATATTGCATCCTCACAACAACCCTGTGAGGTAGATCAGGCTGTGAATGAGTGAGTGGCCCAAAGTAACCCAGTAAACTTTATGTCCGAGTGGGGATTAGAGCCCGGATCTCTCAGGCCCCCAGTCCAACACTCTACCACACCACACTGCCTCTCTTTTATAGTTGTTTAATTACCATACTTTATCTATGGTTTGTAGACCATCTTTAATTGCTACCTCAGTGGTTGGGTCCTGCATTTGCATCCTGAGTAGAAGGCTGACTTTTCTCAAATGCACCTCTTCTTAAAGCTGAAGCACTTGGCTGTCAAAGCTGCACTGCATTCTCCAATTCACATCTAATCTCTAGGTCAGCCACCAAGACCAATCTTCCCCATCCCTATGCCCTCCAGAAGTTCTCTGCTACAACTCCCTTGGCCTCCAGCCAGGCTGATCATGGGGCAGGCATTGTGGCAGTTATACTGTATGGAAGGATGTCAGTTGAAGAAGCCTGACCAGAGTTTCTCCACAGCTGGAGTCCAAATCAGCATCCAGATTGAGCAATGCAGATGATTGCTCTTGTCGGCTTTCTCTTGTAATATTTGTGGTGTATGGTTTCCTCTTCCATAACTGAACTGAAGTGATAAAATCACACTTTCAGCATCTCAACACAAAACTGTCTCCCAGATGGACACAGAAAAATCTGCTTGACCAGATGCTGCCTAGCTTCATGAAAGTACTTAAGATCTTTAAGGCCACAGTCCTATGCACTCTTCACTGGAAACAAGCCCTGTTGCACGCAGACACTTTCTTCTGAATAAGTAGAACTGGACTGCCAGATTGCTTATTTTATCTACATGTTGCACCAAACCAAATACCGTCAATACTGAATGTGGAAACTCATCCTCAGTCAGTCAAGACAGTAGGAGATTTAATGTTTTGTCATCAAGAAAATCACAAATAATATCTATGCTGAAATTTTATCTCCTCATCCCTCCACCCCAGCGTGCCAAACAAGTAACAATTACAGGGTACAGATGTTTAGTACGTTTTGCAGAATCGTTCTAATAGCTGGCACTTAAGCTGAATGACTCCTCGTGTCTTGCAGTGGCATTGCTTATTCTTTTCAATTAG